TCTTTGGTAACAAATGTTAAATACAATCGTTGAAGTTTTGTTTGATCGTTGTTGAACCATTGTTCGTGTTTCTGATGGATTACACATAAAGTTGTTTTGATATTTAAGTGGATTAGATTCGGTGTGTAGCGTAAAACGATGAATATATCACGAAATTCGTTCAAATATAATGTTAAGGAAGTTAATGAAGGATTTCGGTGGAAGTTTGAGACAGTCTTTCGACTGAACAAGATGATTAATGATGCGCATTCAAAGATTTGTAATTTGTTTTGGTTTTGAAAGATATTCGCGAAGAGATAATGTTCGAAATTATCGCGGAGTATAGACGATCGAGATTTTAAGTATTTTTCACTTTGGATCTTGAATACTCGTAGGCTTTGGAACTGTTTCGAGGAAAGTAATCGTTGTAATGATTGATCAGATAAGCCAAATGGTGAAGAGATGATCACAGTTCGTAAGTTCGGTAAGATATCCAATGAGAAGGAAAGGTCAGTGGTCGGAATTGTCAAACTTCGAACTCGTAAAGTGAAAATCGGTAAAATCTTTTCATAGAAGCCGTAGTTGACGATTGATATTTCATAATTATTTAAATAACGTTCATGTTCGAATAAAAACCGTCGAAATTGTGATTTGAGACAGAGAAACGCATAGATAATCTCATTTGTCGATAAATAATCCAAAATATTTAGAAGAATTTCACTTGGCAAGTTCTCAAACGAGACTTTTGTTGTCATATCGAAGAAAACGGGCGTGTCAACCAACGTCAGACCTTGCACAAAGTGTCTTTTATTGACTTAATGATAAGAGTGTAATGCTTCTGACTTTAATCAAATGAGATCCCGAAGATACAATTAAGAACAAAAAAGTTTCATCAGATTTATTAAATTTACATTTGAATTGTTCGGCATACAATTAGAAAAGACAAAAAGAAATGTTAATGAACATCACATAGATAAGATTTCAATGTTGAAATTTTCTTTTTCATCGTCGCCAATCTCCTTCCAGTACCATTGTTTCTTTTTTGTCAAGACATTCTTCCAAAGGCCGTTGTAAAGAAGAATCATATTCAGATAAAGACGCTCGTCATCGCTAATCGATCGTTGTGTTGCGAGTTCGCTCGGGATCGAGACGATTTCTCGATTATTTTCCGAATAAATCACACACGGTGTTTGATTATCGACTAAACCACTTCGCCGTTTTCCGATCAGAATGAATTGCCGAGCGACACTCGTCTTATAATTCATTTCTATGTCTTTCAACGACGGTGTTTCGAACAACTGAACGAATTGCAAACGTAAATTGAAAGATTTGGTTAAAAACAAATGTAAAACTGTTTGTAATCGAACAAAAGCTAATTCTTTGCATAAATTCTCGTCCATGCGCTTGCCCGATGGCAAATATTTGGCTAAATCACGAGTTCGGTCATGATGAATTGCGCTCCATTGAGAATTTGTTTGCGCATGTTCAGTTAGGATGCTGTAGGCACGGTACATCGGAGAGTTTTCGTTGGAATAACATATGAGACAAGATGAAATTGGAATGCAGTTTTGTCGAATGTCGTCGACGTTAATGTAGATTTGCTGATCGGATGGATTTTTCACGAAAGGATAAACGTAAGAATCAATTTGAAGAAAACCACCGGTTTCGTCGATGATCGAAAGATCTAACTAAGAAAATCAACGAGAAAATGTCGTTTTGGTATGGAAGAAAAGGATCTTACACGTTGTTCGAATAGAGCTCGTCGTTTGGCAATACTCGTCGATGAAATACAAGTTGGATTCAATTGTTTTTGCTCGGCTAATCTTGTTAAAACGACTTTCTCATCTAAAATCCATCGATCACGTGCAGCTTGTCGTACTCTATTCATTGCCTCTTGCCATTCAGCATTTTCTTCTGATGAATTCGAATGAAAGTGTTCCGTAAGATTAAGAATTGCTAAAACACCATCGAATACCGATACACTTAGTAATTGATAATGAGACCAGTCAGAATCCGATACAAATGGAGAGATTTCGTCATAGTAAACGCGTTCGATTGGAGTCATTTCGATAACAGGTAAATTATTAATATTAACAGTGAATTTTTTATATGATGAACGTTCAAAAATATTCAAAACATAGGAAAAGCGAATATAAGGAATATAGAAACTTTCATTAATTAGCCGGTAAATGATTGGCAATTGATAATCAGAGAAAGTCACAATACCGTAATGTTTTTCCATTGATGGACAATCAATTGGCCGTTGCAGTTGATACGACCGAGTCAATGAAGGTGTGGAATGGCACATTGGTAAATCAAAATTGAAATTTTCTTTTTCACAGTCATTTATTAAATTGATAGGTTTACAATCATTAAAAAAATTAAAGTCATCTTCAAAATTCATCGTACTAGTCGAGGTAATAGTTCAAGAAGAAATGAATTCAATAGTCGAGTCTGAATTCAGACAAAAGATTTCGATGATTCATGTTTCCTATACGTTAATTCAGTCCAGTAGTGTTTATTTTATAACGGTTATGGTTTTGATGAATTTGAAAATTTTTATTAACGGTGGTTATTGGCGACATCTATAGAGATATTTTCTCGCATCAAATGAAATGCGATTGGTATAGTATGGTGTAGTGTAGAAGACTGAAATGTTAACTGACTGCGTGAAATCTGTTACTCTCAGTGTTAGCTATAGATAGAAAACAAATGTCCCAAAAAGTTCAATGCGGCCGTTCAGTGATAAAAGATGGTGTACTGAAAACTGTAAACCTTTCTGGAGGAGGGGGAGTTCGAGACTGTATCTTAAGTCATATCGATATGGGCTTCGATGAAATTCATGATAAACTTCGAGAACTCTATGAAATAGGTGAGATTCAAACGAAAAATACATGACTTGTATCGGCTTTGCTTTTAGATCCAGCAGATCGTAATTCAAAATTGTATGATTATAAGAATCAAGAATTGGATACAAGTCGATATCGTACATTCTTTGATTATGTTCATCAAAATGGATTGAAGTTTCGGAATACTTTGTTGTATCTATGCACGCCAGCAGGTAAATTTGCCATAAGGCTGGTTTGAAAGGTTTTTATCAAATTTATTAACTAGACGAACGAAGTCTCATCTATTTTTCATCGCCGGAAAAAAATCGAACACCTCAACAAGTCACACGACGGTAAAATTCTTATTTCAACCGAAATAAACACGTTTAAACGATCTTTGACTTCTTATAGTATTCCTCAAGTTGAAGCTGATTCCTCAACATCACCAGAAGTCGTTCATATGGACACAATCACATCACCAGACCAGAAACCAACATCTGAGTACAAAAATAACCTTAAATCTTCCGCTAACTGAACCTTCCTTTTCAAATAGATCTTTACTGAATAATCATATCGTGCAAAATCTTCGAATATCATCCACAACATCATTTTCAAATTATTCCTTTGACCATTCAATCAATCAGTTCGTGATTTACGTTCGCGATCTCATTCAACAATATCGTCATGAAAATATCCTCATTCAATTGTTTGAATATCTATGTACTTTACAAGGTCTCTCATCGATTACGTTAGATCGTTTGAAAGAACAAATCCAATCGATAGATGAACACAAGAAACTATTCTATCAGGATGCACTGGAAAAAATCGAGAAGTTATTGCGATCAATTCGGATTCTGGTTGAATTGAACCGAATGACAATATCGCACATTGATCAACATGCCACCATTATTGATTCATTCAATCAATTTCAACAAAACTTCAATGTAAAATCTCGAAGTCAATTCTCTCATTTCATATTCCCTTTTTTTTCTCTTTAGATTCTTTGTGACCGGTGGAACAATGCGAATCGTCACACATCTATTCCACCTGTCGTTTATACTGTACCTGATCCTGCACCGTCAAGATCTGTTTCTTCAACACATCGTCCGACAACATCAGCAAGATCTTATACAAATGATATAGTAGAATCAGGACACAAATCTTCTTCAAGAACTCGTTCATCTGATCGGACATCATCGTCCACCAAGCATTCAACAGCTCCGACAACACGAAACCATTCAGCGGATCGTCGATCATCGAGACACCATGTAAAAGATCGAACGCCGTCATCAACTAATCATTCAATGAGTTCTACCTCAAGAAATCATCGGACAGATCGACCCTCTTCTCGTCATCATCCAGAAAAACAATCGCGAACATTGTCAACATCACCTGATCATCACCATCACCATCACCACCGCCATTATCCATCTCGAACATCGGCTGAAGAAGAAGATCAAAATAAAAAACTCTCCTTATTTCGAAATGTAAGTATGATCATTTGAATGAGTAGACACGAATTGTATTTTCTTTAGCTGTACAAATCGTTGTATTACCTATCCAATGTCTTACGTGATCGACGTTTCCAATCATTTGACGAATTGATCAAGCGAATGGTCAGTGAAGTAAGCACATGCCAATCAACACTCGTTCTATCCGATAGACAATCCCTCGATCAAGCAACAAGTACCATTATCGACATAGAAAAGCGTCTTTCCAATCGAATTCAGAGTGAGCGGCATCGTGTAGCGCCACATGAAATATATCGAAATCTCGAAGAATCATCCGATCGAACATTAGATTGCATTAAACAATTATTAAACGATTTTGATTATTACAAATCGAAGGCCAATTCAAGCAAACGGCCGAGATTAACACGATGGTCATCACCGGATCAACCATCAACAAATACAGAAGAACATCTTGATATCAAACCAAGTATTCATTCCAAGGAACATCAATCCCGACGAAAGGAGAACGATGATTATGATGATCAAAGTTCTGAAGCATCACGTTCGTCGTTTGGAGATGAAGTTCTGATGGAAGTGGCCAAAACTGCGTATGAACGAAGCTCGAACCGACATAAATAAACTCACGAGACCGTTCTGTTTCATTGTTTTGTGTTATTTTATTATTACTGTTTTCTTTTCTCGTTTAAAGAAAAAAGTCAGATGAAAATTTGTGTTTCAGATCATGATGAATTTTAATCGATTAGTAACAACAGCGCGTTTGTTTCGAACGATTCGGTAAAGTTCCTCAACGAAATTATCTGAAATGCTTCCTCTTTCTTCTCCTCAGACCTAAGTCATCGATCTTTCGATCACGAAATCTGTCAACTACTCCGATCAATCAATCATTGTATAATCTCTCCGAAGAAGAACAGCTAATTAAAGAAACAGGTTTCGAACGTTCTTCTCTTGCTTTTGATCGTCATGATTCGATTTCTTTTTCTCGTACAGTGGCTCGGTTCGGTAAGGAACATGTCGAACCTTACATCCGTGAAATGGAAGAAGCTGGTGCATTTAAACCCGAACTGATGAAAGCAATCTTTGATCAAGGCGTATGTGATTGATGTGTTGTGTGTGTTATGATTTGTACATGTTTGAAATTAGTGGATGGGTATCGAAATACCTACTCAGTACGGAGGAGGCGGTTCGGATATTTTCGGGTGCATTCTAGCGATTGAGGAAGCGTCGAAAATAGGTCAGCCATAAACAGAATTCAACAAAAAAAGATTTTTTTTGCATTTAGATAGTGCATTCGGAGGTAGATGACATTCGAAAAAAGTGTCATTAATTTTAGCATTGTTTTTTTTTTATTGGTTAAGGGTTCCTTGATGTGCAAAATACTGTTGTAAATCCATTTTTTATTCAACTTGCTAACGATGAACAAAAAGCTACGTACTTACCTCGATTAGCGAAAGACTTGGTAATGAATTGTGGATGATGATACTTGCTTTTCTGTTTCTAGCTTATGGCAGTTGATGTACCAGTGGAGTATGGTGGATCAGGACAAACATTTTTCTCTTCAGTGCTCGTCATTGAAGAAATGTCAAAGATTGATCCCAGCGTAGGACTACTTCTAGATCTACAAAATACTCTATTCAATCGATTGTTTCTCAATTACGGAACGGAAGAACAAAAGCAACAATATTTACCACAATTGGCTAAGAATCTCGTGTTGTTCTTTTGATATTTAAATCTTAGGATGAGAACAGGAGTTTTAATCCTGTTTTTTTTCCTTTCAGGTCGCAAGTTTCTGTTTGACAGAACCAACATCGGGTAGTGATGCATTTGCTTTGAAAACAACAGCAGAGAAACGAGGAGATTATTATGTGTTGAACGGCACGAAAATGTGGATATCCAATGCAGAGATCAGCGGAGTTTATCTTGTCATGGCAAATTCAAATCCCACGGTGGTAAATAAGAAAAAGAACATCGATTCGAAAGTATCAAATCACGTTTTGTTCTTCGTAGAAACATAAAGGAATTTCAACATTCATTGTCGATCGCGATACCGAAGGTTTACGTATAGGCAAAAGAGAGAAAAAACTTGGTCTAAAAGCATCGTCCACATGTATGGTTCATTTCGATGATTGCAAAGCATGTATCACTTCTTTCTTTGACTCACAAAGAACTCTTCTCTTATATTCGTAGATTCCTGCGAAGAACCTTCTCGGAAAAGAAGGTCATGGTTATAAATACGCTATTTCTATGCTTAACGAAGGTCGTATTGGTATAGCAGCTCAAGTAAATTCGTTTGCTTTACACTTTCTTTTTGTAATGCTCGACATTCTGCGTAGATGGTAGGTGTTAGTCAAGGTGCGTTCGACAAAACCATACCATATACAAAAGAACGTAAACAATTCGGTCATCGTATATTCGATTTTCAAGTAGATTCAATTCGAGAGCAAGCTTCCGATCATGTTTTTATGTGTGTCATGTAGGCTATGCAACATCAAATAGCGTTATTAGCAACGGAAATCGAAGCTGCTCGACTCTTGACATACAATGCTGCTCGCCTACGTGATGCCAAATTACCGTTTGTGAAACAAGCAGCTATGGCTAAGTATTACGCATCAGAAGTATGACTCATTGGAGGGGGAGGAGATTTTCGTTCTCTAAGTTTATATTTGATGCTTTCAGTTAGCAGGAAGAGTAACCAGTAAATGGTGAGTGATTTGATTTCTGATCGCATAGTGAATATCGGTTGTTTATATTAGCATTGATTTCATGGGTGGTTTGGGATTTTCATGTGATTATCCGCAAGAAAAATTCTTTCGCGATTGTAAAGTTGGTGAGTTCGAGTTGTTGATTAGAAAGAAGAAGAATTTAACATTTTCTTCTGATGAATTTTAGGAACTATCTACGAAGGTACTAGTAACGTTCAACTCAATACAATCGCTAAGTTTATTGACAGCGAATATTGATCAACAGTACTATATTAGTTTCAATAAAAAAAAACAGAATTTCCGATTTTTGATTAACTCATTGATTTATTCGGTTAATGCATAAATAAAACTGAAAAAGAATCATAATAGATATCAATCATAAGTTGGTAATTTTGTTTGATAATTAAGTTTCGGTCCACCAAAGTTCTGCTTTTGCGCAAGACGATTCAAAGCAAAAATGCATAACTAAAAACAGACGATAACAAAGATCAAGTTGAAAGTACACTTACGGTAACTTGCTGAATATTTTGCTTATCGAATAAATCTACCGCTTGAAAAACTTCACTTTCACTGACCCCGTACGCGCGGGCAGCATTTTGAAAAAGTCCGATATTCTCGCGTAATTTCATTGGACCGCCCGATGTGTGAATTTTCGGGATTGAACCAGGTTTTAGTTTGTTCATTAATCTGTACACAATCAAATAGCGAATGTATATCAACGCATAGAAAACTCACTTGCAAAGAAGTACACCATCGTGAAGAGCTTCGGCATAATCATCGGTGGAAAATTTTTCACCTATAACTGCTTCGATCCATTCGCGTGCGGCTTTATCCTGTTCAGGATCTTGTTTTAAATTGATCTATGAAATACAACCATCCTTAAGCATATTGATATTAAACATAATCCATCTGATTATCCTACTTTGTCTTTAACTGCTCGATCTAACGCCATGTTGTACGATTATAACTACAATCTAGCGCTGTATATATACTGTGATATATATATATATATATCACATATTATCATCCGCTTTCGTGGGTGTTTCGCCTGTCACCTCTAATCTTCAGTAAACAGATTCGAAGCAAATGTCGGTAATTAGAATACCATCGTTGTGCCGCTAAGAGCACGTAGGCTAGAATAACATTAAATGACAACTGTTAGTTTGTATATCAATGTCCATTTTTCAAGCTGATCGAAGACAGTTACTGATTAAACCGCGAATATAATGACATGTCAACATACGCGTTCTCGACAAGACGCAATTATACATCTCTGCTGATTTCATGGAGAATTCTGTTGTGTGAACACTCAGACTGAACTAACAATGTTGTATGTCATCTTTATTCAATTGATCCGAATTGAGGATAATTTTGAATGTCCTCTGGCAGTGTTTTTTTTTGTGAACGTATTGATAAGCAATGATTGTATGACCGTTGTCATCGTGCTTAACGCTTACTAAGTCTATTATATCGAATGAACTAATAAAAAAAGCCATTTGAAGCAAAAGAGTACATGACGAGTTTTATTATTCTTTANTGTGTACATTATATCAACGTTACAAAAAGCTGGATGATGATCCGAAATTTATTGTGAATCATTTAACAGCTGGAATACCGATCAACAGTGATACTCCGAAAGATATTCAAAGTTCATCTCAAACCATCGAAGAAACAGTGGAAATCACTCAAATTTAGACCGAATTCATCGATCTGATTTTGTAAATATTTTCTTACTAATTGACTTTAGAATTAGGAGTGTTCTTTGTCAAACATGCATCTGTTTTCATGCTTCTAGATATTCTCTTTCTTTCTTGTTTGCTATGTAGGTAATCAGTGGCATTGTATTCTTCATTCTTAACTTGAAAAGTTCCTTGTTATACTAGAGATTACATTTCATATGTTCAAACATAAATAAAACTGATTTAGTAGATTCAAATCGATCGTAAATGCCTTTTTCAGTGTACATATTGATTGAACTGTGATATCGAATAGCTGATTCGATTTTGCAAACGATCGCAATTATCTCTATCGAACGTTTTTATGATCAGCTTGTCTCAAGTAAGAACAATACATAAATCATGCACTTACGATACGATGAACAATCGTTCTATCTTGACAAAATGCATGCGATGAGAATGAAACAGTGAATTCCCTGCAGATCTTTGTTTTATCGTTGATATTTTCTTGCGTAGAGAACACATAATTCACTTCCGTTCGAAATGTTCTTTCTGGGCACTCGCTAATGCTTTTGTATTTGTGCATTACGACATATTGTTTTCGATGGATTCAGTTTCAATCGAAGAAACATTCCGGTTAGGTAAACGGATTGATTTCTCTTCACCGTGTGTGATGTCTTCGCGAAAATCGACAGCGCGACGAACTTTTGTTGCAAAAAAACGAACGTTCAAAGTGTCGTTCACTGCCAATGTCATCCGACCGAAGTACCTGATACCGAAAATGCCAAGAGGATTGGGAAATTTCGACGTATGCTCATATACACTCTCATTTCCAATCGATTTCGTCATTTTGCTTTAGAACACAATTGTCCTGTGCGTATTCTGCAACGCACCTTGTTTCGAAGATTACCTTCATTGTGATGTTTGCATTAAGACTTATCATTATCAATGTAGACACAATCCAGGTGATGATGAATCGGCTCTCTTGCCCAGTCGACGAAAGAAATATCACAATTGCACCGAATGTGTATGTCACGATACTCGTTTGTTTCGGTATTTGAAGTTTTGGTTTTCAGGAAGATTTAACTCAACTGTTGAGTGAAGACGATATTCATCTACTACGTTCTTCGTTCGAAAGAATCGATCGAGATAATGGTGAGATGATGCTTCATCGAAGAGGAGATCGCTTTATCAGAAAAATTTATTCTTCAGATGGATTTATCATTTTGAAAGACTTCTTGATGTTTTGTTTCAATACAAAAATGATGATCTCTCTCATTCCATACGATCTGTACATACAAAAGTTGCATTTTTATATCATGGACATCCAACAAAAAGGTCGCGTCGCTTGGTTGGATTACCAACGCTTTTATACATGCAAGTTGATCGCAGGAAAAGATCACGTAGGAGAAGTATACTTTCTTTACATGTCTCTCGTTATTTTTTAGGCTCAATTAACAACATCGTTGACTTACAAAGAATTAATCTTTGCGAAGAAACTCTTTCTTCAAGATTCAGAGCTGAATTTCGATCATCAACGAAATCTTATCATTACGAAAGAACATTCCGATAGAGTTCTCTATGATCTTCTCGTCATGATCAAGTATATAAAGAAAAGAAAATCCTAAACGATATGTTCGTGTTTTATTTACAGGAGAAAATATGGTGGACAGTTCATCGATGCAGTTTTATACGAAAACCCGATAATCGACGAAGCATTCGAGTAAGTTTCGTACCGACGGAAGGTGCCGTCAGATCTTTATCATTTTAGAGCACATCGTGTACTCACTTGGGAAGAATTTCTATGCCAAATCTCCATTCCGATCATATTGAATCGTTCGAATTTTGATATTCAGCAGTTTCAAACCTATCTAGCGAGTATTCTGCCGCCCGTTATTGAAACAAAAGTAGAATTTTCGTATACACATCGATTGAAAACTCAAGTTATAGCAACAGAAGATGTATCATTTATTCAGTCTTGTGTAAAATATCGAAAAGCGACAAAACATCGGTCAAAGAGTGCATTGCCGCGTGGGACGTTGATTGTCGAAAACATGGAAGGAAAAGATAATTTCGAACGACCGAAATTAAAACTGAATATAAGGGATGAACGTCAAACTATCAGCGCCCCTTGGTCAATGGTTAAACAGATGGAACTTTTGCGGAATGAACCGATATTGATTTGAATGACACAAAGATAGACTTATCAATCATAAAGGATTAGTTATATTTATTGATATTGAAATAATCGTGAATAAAATAAATGTCTATTTTCACTTTCAATGTCTTCGAAAATCGTATACATCTATTCGAAATTTTCAATTAAATTTTCATTGGCAATAGCACGACGTAAATCTTCGTTATCGTCTTGCAATTCCCGTTCGTAGATGTTCATTTGTTCGTCAGATAAAACGGATTCGTCATCCACTTCTTCGCGTTTACTAAGACCTAATAAGAAAGAACACAATGACTGAATTCGTCGATAATCAAGCCGAAAACTTTACGTTTATCGCATTTGATTCCATAGTAGGGTGATTTACATCGGCAATAGTATGTTGTGCGTAATCCAACACATTCACCGCCATTACGACAAGGTTGCTCGGCGCAATGATCTTTACGTGTACGATCGGCATTAGCAGCACCAGTGAACATAAATTCTAGAGGCCACACAGAAAAATATGTTTCATAGATCAAATATAAACAGCGTACTATTTTCACAACGTTTGCCATAATGATCTGGACCACAAAAGCAATAGTAGCTACCACTTGACAAAGTTTTGCATGTACCACCGTTATTGCATGGATTAATTGCTCCACAGGCATCTATAATTGAATTGAGAACATGCTCTTCTTAGAAATGCACATCGTCTCTGTCGGTCTCACCTTTTGGTGCTGCAGTTGTTAAGCGTCCAGTACCAGATCGCGATGTGCTACTTGCCACTATTCAAAGAAAAACTTTCTTTTTACCTTCTCGATCATGACAAATGTTACCTACATCCGCTACCCGAAGTCGTCTTGCCTTTATTACCAAATAAACCACTGAAAGCGGATGATTTAGTTGAAGTTGAAAGTTTCGAAATCGAAGTTGGTTTTGTTGTTGTAATCAATGCTGAAATCGAGTCGGAAGATGGTTTAGGTGTTGTTGTCTTTTTATTCTTCCAAAATCGTTTGATAGTTTCAATTACATCTAAAGAAACAACTTTCAACTTTGGATACTGCTTTCCAATTAATTGTTACCATCGTCTTCGCTATGATTGGTAAAATCTATTTCTTGTTCGGCATCTTGAAGATTATCGTTACGAGCACGTTCAGCTTGTAATACAGTGATGAACAACGTTACAGCAATGAACAGGAGAAGTATACGGCGATTGACCATGATTTCTTGTTCTTTATGAGACCAGACAGTACTGAGAAAACGTCTTTTTATATCCAAACGGATCTGTCCAGTGTTGACAAATGATTATTCATCCGTAGGAGATATTTGTAGATAAGAAAATGAATCTCGCTGTCTATTTTCGATGAAAATCTATTTATCCTTGACTTGATAAGTAGTAGAAAGAGATTATCTCGACGTTATTGATGATTCGTTGTTGATAGTTCCCTTTCTTATTGTTGAGATAAGTTAATTGTGTCTAATTTATCTAAAGACGTAATTCAATGTTCACCTGCTACTGCCATCTGTCGTTGAAAAATTCTTGTTAGTCAATCAGTTGAATCCAATCGGATGAGCTGATCGTGAAACATCATCATCATTGTTTTGTTTATTGATTCTTGCATTCATTCTTTTTGACTTGCAACATACATAACGAGCATAGATTATCATGTCAATCTCTCTTCTTTCAAACACATACAATCGGCAAAATTGGGAAGATTCGGTATGTTGAGTTTCTAGAAGAAGTCTTTCAATTGAATGTGTATTTATTTGGATAGGAGTTTCCAATTTTATGTCAAACATGTCTTGGCGATAATCCTTACATTCGAATGGTAAATATACGGCTTTTTGTCGTTTGTTTATGAAATTAGATATATTAATTTAGATGAAAGAACGATATGGACAAGAGTGTAAGATATGTAATCGTCCATTTACGATCTTTCGTTGGTGCCCGGGTGCTCGTATGCGTTTCAAAAAGACAGAAATCTGTCAAACGTGTAGTAAAGTGAAAAATGTTTGTCAAACATGTTTACTCGATCTTGAATACGGTTTGTACTGAAAAATATCTACTAACTAAACATGTCGTTCGGTTTTTTCCTTCAGGTTTACCTGTTCAAGTTCGTGATGAAGCTTTACAAATCACTGACAGTGTTCCAAAATCGCACGTGAATAAAGAGTACTTCACCCAAAATGTTGAAGGAGAGGTGAGAATTCGTGTTTTTTGTTGTAAAGATCAATATCAAGATGTATTTAGATGGCACTTGATCAACAACCCCAACCATATGGCCAATTAGCTAAAGCTCAACCACCAAGCGATGTTCTGATGAAATTGGCACGATCAGCACCGTATTACAAACGTAATCAACCTCATATTTGCTCGTTTTACGTCAAAGGTGAATGTAAACGAGGTGAAGAATGTCCATATCGGTATGTACAAAATGTTGATTGAAAATCAAAATTATTTCATTCGTTCTCCATCGTCTAGACATGAAAAACCATCGGATCCTGACGATCCTCTATCGACTCAAAATATTCGCGATCGTTTCTACGGTATCAACGATCCTGTCGCTGAGAAACTTTTATCGCGTTATAAAGAAGCACCACAACTGGAAGCACCAGAAGATAAAACTGTTACTACACTTTATATTGGAAACGTTGTCGATATCGATGAACAGCAACTTCGGTTTGTTGAATTTGATTTGCTGTAGGAAAACGAATAAACGCTTATCTTTTTTTCTAGAGATCACTTTTATCAATATGGAGAAATTCGCTCGGTCACTGTTGTACCGAAGCAATCATGTGCTTTTGTTCAATTTACACAACGAGACGCAGCTGAACGAGCAGCAAAAGAAACATTTAACAAATTAGTCATCGACGGCAAACGTTTATCCGTTAAATGGGGTAAACCACCATCAGCACAAGCCAGTAGTGGACGTACAGGTGAAGCAGGTGGATATGAAAGCAATTACGAGCCTGTACCGGGCCTTCCATCAAGTAATGAAACGTATTTCTTTCCTTGAAAAAGATTCGAACTTTTCTTTCTCTCAGTTGTCCCCATGCCATCAAGTGAAGCGAAAACGGATTTCTTTGGTCTATCATCGTCATCAAACATGGCAGCATCGACAGCCTCGAATACATTTCTTCCTCCACCACCAATGCCACCTCCGGATCTAGGCGACTATACGTCGTCGTTATCTTATGGTCATATGCCGCCTCCATTATCATTGCGTACGTCTAGTGTACATTATCCATCTCAAGATCCATCGCGTGTTGGTTCAACAGCATCACATGGAAAGGCCAATGAATAAAATCGATGATTTTTCTTTCTTTCTTGATATTATTTCGTTCTGTTTGCGTGTTGTGTTTATGTATTCAATAAAAACAAGTTTTTCGTGAAGAACGACAACCAACATGACTCTTTCGGATAAACATACTACAATTGAGAGCGTGAAATTCGTTTAGAACAACAGTTAACTATCGCCTTCTGAGAAAAATACCATCGTCAAGATTTTGACATTAAAATAAACACTATTTATTTACTTTTACAATACGTATAAATCGATTTTTAGTACACATAAATATGTCATTCAGAATTGCAATGAATAAAAAAGACTTTACAAGACAATTCTCATGGATCAGCTCGAGTATCATTAATATATCCAATATCATCTAAGATAAACGCTAGTTCCACTCGTTCGACTACGGCTTCCACGGCGTTCACATGCACCGGTATACTTTGCGCCTCATACATGGTTTCAATGGTCGATAGAAAACATTTGATTAAATTGAGAAATCGTCGAACTGACAATTGAAGGCCGTATTTAAACAAAAGATATTTCCATGTAATCTCGGCGTTATTGTTTTGAATCCGAAAAGTCGTAAGCGTGCTTGCTGGTTTAACAACCATTGTTGAAGGAACTAGTAAAAGATTGTTACAAAAAGTAAATAGGGACAAACCTAGCTTGAAAATCACAACGTCGGTTTCCATATATTTTAAAACATGTTCGACTAAATTCAGTGCATTTTGACCGTAGTAATTTTGAAAATAGGTTACAAATGATGGACAATTGGAAAGTTGGCATTGTTTCCAAATGAATATCAGACCAGACCACGTCGTGCTTTCGGCAGCCATACGAAGAAAGCCGGCTCGATCGTCGTACGACAATTGTGCATAATTTCGATTCGAACGAAGATAATTTTCAGCCGCTTGATATACTTCTGAGAACAGTTGCGTTGATAACGTTGCACTGCTTTGTGCAACAGTGCTTTCAGTGGAAATTTGACGAGCTAGGGATAAAATTTTACTCTCATTGTAACAATATATCAAACTTGATAGAACTGTCCACTGTACTGAGTACAATGGCGAACCAACCGGTTGTAATTGTAAAAGATTCCTAGTTGGAAACTAGAAGAGCAAGAGACAATAAAGGTTGTTCACAAGCAAATTGAATACTTGTTGCAACTGGTTTTCTTCTTCAGATCTTGTAAGGATATTCGACGTTTCAGTGATCGTTTCAGTGGTGGGATTTGCTTTTTCTTTCGATACAGTTTTCTTTGACAGAGAAGATCGAATCAGTTCCGATTGCATTCCATTGGCAAAACATTTTGCTAATCGACATGCGGAGCATACGTGACGATTATTTACATTAACTTCGCAGTCTTCGTCCGAGTCACATTTGAATTTAAGCTAGAAAGACAAAGAAAACGCACTGAAGAGATGAATTTATCGATAATTTTCACTTGTCCAGTAATAGCATTTCGCCGAAAAAACATTTTGCATGGTGAACATGATACCGCGCCATAGTTCGAATGCTCCGCTGGCGCACCGCAAATTTTGCATTTAATAGACTCTTCTCTTGCCTTTTCGACTGGATTCGATGATGCAACATTAGAATTTTTATCCATCGAATCCTTATTTTATTCAATCTGAAACCATCAGAAAGACGCCAGACGTTCAATCAGCTGAAGAAAATAAGTATAAAAAGTACAAATAAAGTAGCATTGTGTGGATAGTTTTAATCGTTTTGAACAGAACGTTTAATAGTACCTTTGACATCTTCGCTTTTCTTGTTTTTATTCAAAGGAGAGAAAAGAATATAATTATACAGTTCTTCTTCGTCGTCTCTGTTTTACAGTCAAATAGTGCAATAAAAGTCGACCGTCTCTGTCTTTCCTCTCCTTGGAACGCACGTTTTTATGAATGAATTGCGTATCGAAAGCAAAATTGAAGAAATCATTGAGCAGATCAAAAGATTTCGCTTATCAATGTCTGATTTGTACAGCACCAACGATGGACTTCCACTTTGGGGTGATTTGTTGTCCGCCGTGTAAGATGTTTTTCAAACGAAATGCTGAATCCAAGCGAGTAGGAAACATGAGATCTGATCGAAGTGAAGAATTGAAATTTGTTTTTCAGATACCACTGGCATGTACTTTTGCAAATAGATGTGATATCGATACAACGAGCCGGTGAAGGCGTCGATTTTATCGATTGAACAAATGTTTTGCAATCGGAATGAAAGTCTAGCTATTCCATGCGCCTCATGCAAAAAATCACCAATACAAACAAGTAAGACTATTCAGCATCTTAGGGGAAATCGGACAATTCGTTTTTATCTAGCTCAATTCGATTAACTTGCTAGAATCTGATCGAACAACTCTAACTGCTGAAGAATGCGATCTACTTCCACAAGTCGACGACCCATTCGACGAAAATGTACAACTAGTAGCAGTGTATGGATATTTATCGAACTAGAATAATTTACCATCGAAATTCCGTTTTAAATCTCAAACTATTTGGGAATTAACGTCATTGTTAATGCGTCAAAGTCAGTTGATTTTCCAGAGAAATCTGTATTTTCTTTCGTTATGTTCCTCTGATCGAACACTGCTTCTTCATCGTGTAACAAAATACATCTCATTAATCACCTTTTCACTAATAGTGCATATCACAAATCGCACAGATGATCTTTCGATCAACGGCAATGTTCAGCACTAATCCTCTCTTTACTCGACTTGATCAATTCGATGTCCTGTTTCTGAAATTATCATTAGCCATCATCTGTTTCTCAACATTTGACTATGTCATTTACGAAAATCAATCGGCAAGTCATCTCCAGTATGTTATCGAATTCTAAAATCTCTACGTTGATCTAGCTTGGCGATACTTAGTTTATGAATACAATGAACAACAAGCTCGACGATATTTTTTCAATTTAGTTCAATATCTCTTCACTGTCAATGCCACGATCGTCTCCACGTACGACGAAGGATCATTTCAAGAAATGATACATTTGATTATACAACGCAGGGAAGTAGCACTTCCTCAACGAGTTTGTTTTTTCTATGTTTGTTTTGAGAGAAAAATAACAACAATCAATTCTCATAACTGAAGTTTGTCCCCTTGGGTTTTCCACATTGATTACGAATGAAGTTAACACGTGCCAAGTCTGTATAACAGATTTATTCAACAGGAAAAAATTGATACAACTTAAAGTAAGTTCAACAAAGACCATCAACGCAACCTAATTGTTTATTGAGAATTTGTTCGTTTGTTCAACAACGGTTTCGATTATATTCTTGTATTCTCGAATCTGATCAACTTCTACTATTGTACGATTCACTCGCAGTAAACATTTGAGAAGATGACAGAATCTGAGAACAGCTTGCTGATAAGTATATTTATACACCATGTATTTCCACGCTATTTCAAGATAAGAATCATGAATTTGTAAGATGCGTTTCGAATCGGTCAGTTCATTGCAGGCCCAGTCGGGATAAACGGTATATTTCGTAGTTGAGAAGGCGATAATCACGAGAACTAATTTGACAAATGTTGCATCAGAATCGAAACTTTCAATTAAGTGTAGAATCTTCAGCATAATATCAACTCCGAATATCGTTGCAGTCGTTTGATAAAAGAGAGGATCGTGGAGAAGTCCAGCTTGATATAATGCAAATGTTGCACCAATACATTCAGTATTTTTGACGGTATTTCGAAGAAGAATTGAGCGATCACAACATCTAATCGAACGAAAATCGTCATTTTTCTCGAACATCTGCTGCATTCGTGTCATATTCAATGTGACAAACTCAGTCGTCGATGTCAACTTGTAGCGTAATCTCAATGGAAAACATCGTTGTTCATGCCGAAACTGTAGAGCATTCTCAACTCCACTGTATTCGTCGTAACAGTGAAGTAAATTCGAAAGAAGAGTCCATTGGTTCGTTGTCAACGTCGACTGATCTGAACGTAATAAATTTACTGTTGGTAACTAAAGAAAATGCGTGTTTGTATTTGAAATAAATGCGCGATTACTTACTTGTGATGATAGATTAGTATTTTGTTTCCAGTTGGGTAATTTTAACTCTATGTTGTCAGTGTTGTGCCGGCGCTTCACGTTTTTTCTCAACCTCGAGCCACGTATCAGCTCGATCTGCATCCCTACGGCGAAACACTTCTTTAGTCGACAGGCGGGACATGCCCGTCGACTGTGAATATTAATATCACACTTGTTTTTTAGATCACATTGAAAAGAATCCTTAAAAACCAATCGAAAAATAGCAGATGACTATATAATCGTTCTCTCAGCCAGACCTGTTTTGATTCAGCGTTTCGTTTGAAAAACATCTTACACGATGAACAGGAAATGGCTCCGAAATTTGTGAAATTCGCCGGCGCACTGCATATTTTACAGGCTTGAGATGTTGTCGTCGGTTGCTGTTCCATTATTTATCGTCGTGTTCGTTCGAGAATGCACCTCCTGAATAGCTTCAAAGTCGTGGTTCTGAATGCACGTTTGGAGAGAATAGAAAGAAACCTTTACACTCTGTGTCGAGAAAGAAAAAAGAAAGGAGAAAAGAAAGAAATAACGTGTCAAACTGACGTAAATTCAAAGGAACGACCAAGCTTTCTGTGTTAGAAGAAAAACAATGCTCTCTTCAAGAATGATACACTCCTATTTGTTACGAATAATCTAGATGTATTGATAAATGACAACTGCTTTCAGATATATTTAATGTCACGGAACTATCGTGCTTCTTTCAATCTTTGCTTAGTTTGCCGTGGAATTTATTTTTACCAGGGATGAAAAAAACATTCTGTTGTGTAGTCAAACTAATACATAATTAAACGTGTTTGGAGTGCGAAAAAGAATGCGAGTAGATTGCGACAAACTGCCTCCCGGATAAGACTTAACGAAGCTTATCATCATGGAGGAAATCTGTTCATTATGTTTGTCATAACTGATGTGTAAGAATTTATTTTCTGAGTGTTTGAATAAAAAACAAAAATTGTTAACAATGTAAAATAACAAGACTGTCATGATTAAATAATCGACAAAGACGATTGCAAGAAGAAGATATTATTTTGGTTTAAACCATGTTGCAACTTCAGCGAAGAGATTTGAAGGGAGTGTGTTAACATTGTAAATTGAAAGTAAGTCTAAACTTGAAACTTCCGATAACAAACTAGATGCTTGGCCACGTGGAATGATGCGAAAATAAACCGGTGTAGAGCCCTGATCATCGGTCTTTGAAGACAATGGTTGTAAATACAGACATGACGAGAAAGAGTACTGTTTGAGTTTGATGAAATAACCTAGATGGATCATCTCAGAAGGCAAATTCGGCGTAAGGAATGATATACCTTGAAGAATTGTGTAGATAACTTCAATGAGTCGTTCATCGAAGTTCTCTGCCAGGACAACAATGTCGTATTCTTTTCTTGATGTCTAAAAATAATACATTGATGGAGAAGAGGCCACGTAGTAAGCTGAAGAATGATACAATCTGTCGTGTTCTTTCTTTATTGTCGTTGTCGACATCGTTCTCATCTTCTGTGTTTTATGTCCTCGCGAAACATATGAAAGAAGAAGAAGAAAAAAAACGCGACGATATACTACGAGAGTGTACAGACGAGACGTGACAAAATATTATTAGATATCGATGTATATACGGAGATGTGCGTATCAATTGGGGCATAAAGAAGACGAGGTGAAAATCATGCATTGCGACAAATCAGAATAAGACATATCTAAACAAATGGCTGAGACAAGCAAAGCAATTGATCAAAATCTTCCCTCTGTATTCCTACAAATTCAAGAACAATTAGTACGTACTGAGTTTCTATTCATTACGGACAAACATGTGTGACATATGCTTGAATTTCGTCTGTTATCTGAGTGCAATAATCAAACATATGTCGAGCAAGTTTTGTACATCTTTTTTAGAAGCATATTCGCGAGGATAATATGGATTTAACCGAACAATTAACACTGCTCTACAACGATCTTTGTCACATTCGACGAATTCTCAGTAATACTCAACAGTCCAATGTCAATTTGAATCTGAATACAACGAGTCTGATTGAACCTTCAACGTCAAGTCGATATCATCCGAAACAACGTTCGGATAGTGAACCGAATATTCTCTCTGATCGGCAACGAGTTGTCACGATTATTGATGACTTACAATAGGTGTAAACACCGTTATACCGCCCAATGATAGCGATAGATTCAATGCAGCATGAACATCTTGTAATGCGCGGAAATAGTTCGTTTGTTGATGTCCTTCGACACTTTTATAATCACGATAATACTGCTCCGCTGTTGAACGTATTGATTCGAATTGACCTGTTGTGTTTTTTCAAAAAAAAAAATTTGAAAAACAAAATCCTGAATTATTTTGTTCTTTTTTTTTCCGTACCATAATAATGATCTGAATGAACTGTGGTGTGAATATGTGGATGCACTTGTGAGGCTCCTCCATGTGGAAGACTATCCCAAAGTAATGTGGGAAAACGATGAGCAGGTGATTGTTTATGAACAGCACGGATCCTATAAACAAACAAGAGACAATTTTCACAAACAAACAGAGCATTCTAGTCGAAAGAAGCAATACGAGTCGGTTAATACACTTTTACCTTTCGATAGTGGGCTTATCTAGATATCTTTGTTTACACAGAGTAAAATCGATGTAAATGATTATAAATCTTGACTTACCATTTCCATGCTAATGTGTACACATCTTTTAGTTGTTCGAAAGTGAGCTTGGTGACATCGTGTTCTCGAGGCATGAACATCGAATGCCATTGATCGAATTTAAATGCATTAGCAGCTGAATAAGCATATCGGTTCTCCATTCGACCAAGACTATCCATCGCTGTCATACTGTTCATTGTAGAAAGCGAAAATATTTGTTCGAAATTTGACAAACTCGAAGAATTTACTTTTGATAATTACATAAATCACAAGATTGACTAGTTTTGTTCATGGTTTCTTTGAGACTGCAATGATCCAAATGAAAAGTTCGATGAAAAAGCAATGTTCATCTCACTATTGATCTATCGGTACTTCAGGTTGTTGTACAGGACGACGACCACGGAGTGGATTGTAAACTGTATGTTCAAATGAATACTTGTTAATTACAAAATGAAGTTCCTAGACAGGATAACGAAGAAGAAGACGTTATGCAAGTGTTTGACAGTATGTTTGAACCTGTTTCAGTGCTTTCGCGTACAGATCTTCGTCATTGTTAAAAATTTTTTTTATTTTTTCCGCAAACGCCGATGGATATTGTACTTCTGCGACTTTTGTTTTGATATCATAGATAGATTTTATCTCACCAATGACTTTCCTATAGACCAACGCATTGTCAAAACATGATTTCGTGCACGGATTCCCTTACTGACAAACTGAGTACTTCGTATAATTAGTCTTGTAATATTGATCGGAATTTTCAGTCGGTAAAGTCTTTTGGTTCAGCCAACAGCGTGAACGCCACGCATTCTAATGAGGAAGGTTGTCTATGATGTCAATCAAAAACGAATTTCTTCTTACGATGTCATAGGACAGATCAGACAAGAATATCGGCCACTTTGAGTATTGAGCAAATCGACGTTCGATATTCGTGTTCGAGTATTCAAGATTTGTGTTCAATGTGACTTGGTTTGTCAGTAGTAGCTTAGGTAGAAAAAGAGTTGTGACTATTCCTAACACTAAACCGCATAATAACCATTTAATTTTGTAATCATTTGCTCGATATATCATCATTTTTTCATTCTAAAAGATCAAGACTCGAGATTAATCAATGTTAGCAGTATCTCTTTGTCTATTTGTAAATGAATGAATGAATGAATAAATAAGAAGAAAAGCGCACAATTTCGGGCAGTGAGAAAATTTAAAAAAAAGAATGTTTAGTTAAGGAATGATCTTTTGATAAGGTGCTGGTATACGCTCGAGTAAACCTAAATGAATAGAATGTTCGACATGAAATTGGATGGAAATGTTTGTCATACCTCGTTTGGATAGTTCGGCTTTGTTGAACAGACGATTGTAGTATTTCTAAAGGTAAAACAGATGAATTGCAGCGTGGTTTCTCTCGTTGTTTACCTGTCCGTTATCACAAATACAGGTAACAATATTTGACCCTTTCGGCATTGATTTACTTAATTCAACAGCAGCAGCAACGTTCAGGCCTGATGATGCACCAACGAAAAAACCTTCTTCACATAGAAGTTTATAAACCTACCGAGATAGAAATGAATTCGAGTAGATATGCTTTAGCTAATCTACCATATTGACAGAATCTTGATCACTTATAAATAACGATTCATCAATTGGCGCATCTTGTAAATTTTGTGTCACACGTCCTTGACCAATTCCTACAGAAATAGTTATCCTCACACAGGTTCAAGTCTTTTCCAAGTATATTCAAGCCTTCAGTTATCGATGATCCATCTGTTCGGTCGAGTTTGCCAGATTTTATGTAATGATACAGAACACTACCCTGAATATAGATCTATAAAAAGGCATTTCATCAAAAACATCTGTTCGCATACCGGTGGATCAGCAAGAACTGTTCGAATATTCTTATTTTTCTCCTTTAAGTACATTGAAATGCCAGCCAATGTCCCACCAGTGCCAGTACTCATGACAACAGCATCGACTTTACCGTCTACAAAATGATGTGTTTGCATCGATTGACAAGAATACATATTTACTAGTTTGTGCCCAAATTTCAGGCCCGGTTGAAACATAATGACCTTGACGGTTTGCTCGATTATCAAACTGATTCGTCCATAAAGCATTGTCACATTCGTCTGCGTATCGTTTCGCCTTAAAAGTGAAAAAAAAGTTATTGATATGTTCTTCTGTAGAATACCTTCATACCTGATGATTGTAGTTGTTTGGGTCTGTGAATGCTACAACAGGAACTGTGGTCACTTTTGCGCCTAATAATCGAAGTAAATCGATCTTTTCCTTGACAAAAGACGTGAATGAAATCTTTCTTGAAATCCAATGTTCTTCTTCAACCTACCTTCGATTGATTGTCTGGCATGAAAATCACACATTTAAAACCCAGTGCATTGCATATATGTGCTAAACCAATTCCCGTGTTTCCAGCTGTACCTTCTACAATTGTCGCACCATCTTTGATTAAATCTAAACTAGATTATCATTAAATTCGGAGAATCTATGCTAACAATAACATGCATACTTTTATCGAGTGCGTCTTGAATTAAGAAGAAAGCAGCACGATCTTTAATTGAACCACCCGGATTGAGATATTCAGCTTTTACAAGAATATTACATCCTAGAGATAAAAATTTGAGTATTTAGATGTGCGATTACAACTACTAATACCTGTCTCTTTGCTTAACTTCGGTAATCGAATCAAGGGTGTACTAAAATTCGAACGTTCAGCAATGAGCATGAATAGAAGACATGATTCAATCTTACTTTCCAACTGTGCCACGAAATCCTTCTAATATTCGTGCCACGACTGAAGCCTACACCAAAATCATTCGATTATCGCCATGTTCCTCTAAAAAACTCTTACATTTTTCGATAGACTTCGTCGACTTTGATGGATGACTGTACTTGTCAACATGTTTTGCTTTCCACCAACTGTTAAACCTTGAAATCAAATATCAATTGCTCGAAATATTTCGCCTTCGTCATACCATCACGACGTGATAGACATAGTCTAGTACGTGATGGGTATAGACTAGTTCCAATTGGTAGATCTGATTTTCAAATAAGATAGTAGTTCGGTTTCTGGTCCATGCTCGTACACAGGAGACATCTACATGAAAATGCGAGCTGAAGATGTTGTTAAATCTTTTGAATTTAGTATACACTTTACATGAGCGAGAAAAAACGAAAGTGTGTGTGCGTGAGAGAGAGTGAGAAGAATGACTCGTTGGAATAATACACTTCAGAAGAGTTTAAACACACTGGTACGTAAGACAAACAAAGTAAAGTAAAATAATCGACGACAAAGTTCGGTGTCATGCAACGTCATGGACACTAATGATGAGACATACGATTCTGAGACAAACGATTATGATGAAGATGTTGGACAAGTATCCGAAAGTCAGACAATTCCTGTCTATGCCAACGTTCAAACGTATCCATGTTCGACATGTGGAAGAAGTTTCAATAGTGAATCATTAGTAGGATGAAAGTAATGCGTTTGTTTACCATAGAATTTCGTATTTCTAGAGGAGACATCAAACGGTATGTAAAAACGCTTTACAAAAGCAACCTCGCAAGACTTTTGATACTGGCAAACAGCGTGCGACTGATTCTGACGTGCCATACAAAGCCACGAGAGAAACAACACAGGTTGGAGATGCCAAATACATTGAAAATTCTTTTGAATAATGTTTAAGGAACTGCTAGTTTTATAAAAATGGTCGACAACCGAAAGTCGACAATTCAAAGAACAAGACAACTAACTGGCGAGAAGGACACAATGAACTTGTTCGTACTATCCGCCAAGCTCGACAAGTCACACAAGCCATTGAAAATGATGCACCTCTACCAAAGCAAATTCCTTCCCAAGCTCCATCCGATTATATCGAATGTGAATATTGCCATCGTCATTTTAACAAATTTTCCGCAGAAAGACACATTCCATTGTAAAATAAGACGAACGATGTTCTTCTTCATTCGAAGTTTTATTTTTAGTTGTGAAGCTCAACATAAACGTAAACAAGCGCATTCAACCGTTACAGCGACGCATAACGTCCACACACCACCGAGAAATAACGGTCGATCAGAACGAGTCAATAATATTGAACATCAGATCAACTCTGCACCTTCCAAATTAGTCACACGAAGACCTCAAAAGTATATCTGAGCTTTTGATTGATTGATTCATTGACTCTACTGTATATTTTCAGAATCAACGAGGAAAAGGAGTATAGAAAGCCGACAGTAAATTCAAACGCTTATAGACGTCCTACTTTTCAGGAGGTAATTATCATTTTTCTATAAAAAGAAGTCTTTTCTCGTTAAATTAATCATATCCTAGCCAATGAAAACGCATTCCAATGGTTCTTCATCAAATTTTCATAATCCTCGTTTAATAAAAGCACGTAATACAACAGGGAACTACTTACGAGGTATGCGTCGTCCAAATCGAACTGTTGACCTTGAACAATCGAAAAACGAGTCGACATCTTATTATCAACAACATATAGCCGAAATGAAGACTCGAGCGTTGAAGGCAAATCTACGCCCATCACAAACAAATAATGACAATGATTATCAACACCACGAGACGCAAATACCACGTGGACCGACGTTAGCAAAACATTGTCATGAATGTGGCGAAGCTTTTCCTACCGAACGAGCGAAATTTTGCTGCGAGTGCGGCGAAAAACGTTTTGGTATTGAATAAAGTCTTTTTCTCAATTTATTTGTTATGTTTATTTTTTCTCGTTTCGATTAAATATTTACATATTTCGTCTATTCCACATATTCTTCATTTTCCTAGGAAGAAAAATATCAATGACATCATCAAAACATCATGACTTTTCTTGATCATGTTTATCGGGAGCTGTCATTGAATGATGCGTTGCTTATTCGCCTAATTACCATTCTGTGTCGGTTAATATTCTGTATTGATCATAAAAACGTATTCGGATATAATCATACAATTCATATTCGTCACGAAGTAATAGTTTGAGAATATTCCTTGTTTTGCCATTTGGTAAGGGCACATTCGTATCTCTTTCGTCGATGAGATGATCGGAACTTCGAGTATTCATGAACAGAAGACGAGCAAGTTGAAAATATTCGGGAAGGAGTTTTTCTAGAAACAGAAGAATGTTGTTCATTGTGACGTGCTCGAAAATCACCTACCGAGAACGTAGAGAAATTTGTAGAATGCTTCAGCAACGCCAACCACTGTATAATAATATTCAATATTGTCCTTCGCTTGCTGCAATGCAAAAGTTGAATTCATTTGACATTCGTTTGTGCGGTTTAGCCCACAGAAGAATAGAACCATCTGCGACACACCGAATTCTGCTGAAAGACATTTTACGGGTGGCCATTTTGAAACACAAGTATCGAGTGTATCATTCACTGTTTGTTCGGGAACGAGACAACGATTTTTTATGCGGCACTGCTCACGTGCTGCATGAAATTCAGATGTCAGACGAGAGATGGGATCGCGAACGAGATTGATCCAAATTGGCTGTGAAGGTAACTTTAAATGATAGAAATCAAAGAAGTAGATTGAACGGTCGTAGATTAACCGATCGAATTTATGTTGAGTTAAGGATTGGGCAATACGAGTCAACGAGGATTGATTGTATGTGTATGGACGCGAGATTTGACTGGAAATATAACTGAATGAATGCAGTGTCGATACTTGTTCGAGTAAAACTCGCATTGTATGATCATAACTGTGTGGTATTCGATTGTAAATAATAGTTGAAGAGTCACCTTTGAGATTTAAGATGTGCGAAAATCGATGAGTATTTGGAAATGATAAATTGACTTTTACGTCAGAGGAAGGTCGGTATTCTTCGTTGAGAATGGTGATGTTAACATCGAGATCGTCAAGATCAATGAAAGAATAATGTGAACGTACGTCAGAAGAGAACTTTGTATGTGATGGATCTCTGAATAGAGAGGAATACACATATCGTTTGTTTTTCAATCGAGTGCTTACCGATGATCTGATCTGACAATTGATCCAGATGCTGAATTGATTTTTCGATGCATCTTCAAGCCGGTTAGATGCTCATACATCCCATCTCTATGAAAGGACGAGTCAAGTTCCGATACAATCGTCTGTTCTCTGGTATAGATATAAATTATGTAGTATACAATAACTATGGGAATAAGTATTGGCCAATAACGTGAAGTTCTGCTAGGTGTTGTCATACGTCGATAGGTAACGTGTACTGTTTTTCGCAAACTCATAACAAACTCATAATTAACGCTATTCAATTGATAGATCATGGTTGTTTTTGTGGGTGACTAACTTCACTCATGAAAGACACACACTCTGCGTGAAGACTGTTTTTCTTACGTTTGTTATTATATGATGTTACACTTGAATGATTCCTCGGCGCACAGTCATTTATTCACGATGTCAACGCGTGGTGGAAGTGCGATTCAAAGATAGGCAAAGATTGTTACTGTTTCACTGAATACTCTCAAGATGGTTATCGTCTTTTCTATTATCGCATGCGCATTGACGCTGGCTCATTATTTTTGCAGAAGAAGTCATAGTTTGTCTTATTTTATTTGGTAAAAGACAAAAAAAGAAGGTGTTTAGGTCAATTTCGTCACCATTTCTCGACTAAGTAAATCCGCTTGTCGTATCGGTTCGCAGATACGATATTTAGTCACAGATTTGAATATTTCACAAGCTGTCGGCAAAGTTATTTGATGTCCCGCGCTGATATAAACCGCATTTTTCACATGACCAGTTACATTATAAGCCAAACCAAGAACATTTCCACTGTCACCGATAACTTCAATATATTGATCTTCTTTCGATGCTTGATTCGTCAGCAAGTCTTCAACTCGCTCTCGCGTCATCCCGTCTGCGTAGAGAACGTTCTTCGATACACCAAAACATGGTATACCACTTAAAACACCAAAATGCGAAGCAATACCAGCTCGACGCGGATGCCAAACACCGTTTCCATCCATAAGAATCACTTGTGGTGTTAAATGAGGACAATGCTCTTTCTGAATATCGATCAATTTCATAAAAACCGGCGCTTCACGGAAAGCGAGGTAATTTGGAATGTACGGAATTTTCATGTTACAATTCACGCTGATTTTCGCCACGATATTCAATGTTGAATAATCGAAAATAACCATCGAAGCAACAGCTTTGTCGTTTGTTTTAACAAAACTTATATCTAAACCAGCGATATATTTAACCGGTTGTTCGATTTGATCAACATCGATTACGATTGATGAGACAATGTTATTTTGTTCTCTTAAATATAGATGATCGCCATGAGAATGACTGAAATCAATCTACTTACTGTGTCCAGACGGGCAAAAGATCATCGGGGTCTAGTTTATATTCGAATTCGATAAAATCTTTGATTTCGATAGTCAAACATGTTTGATCGATGTTCGTCTTCATTCTCTCTCGTGATTCAATGTAGAGTTGTTGAACACGTTGTCTTAATTCGCGAAAATTGCTTGCATTTCCAGTTATGTCAAGAGCATGTGGCACTTGTAATCTCGATGTATCGAATAGGACTTCCTTGGTTGATTCATCATATTCCAATCCACTTGCAAGTAGTTCACTAAGAAGTTTATACTCATATGAACGTGATAGTTGATCTTGGCCAACCTGACTACGATTGATCGTTGTTTGCCGAAGTCGAAGATAATCTTCAATGGTTACGACTACATCTGGAAATACGTAGTCCGCATAGATATTTCCTTTGCGTCCTGCGGTGTGGCCAAGATGAATCATGCAATTCATGATCATTTCTTCACTAATCTTCGTTTCATTGGGATGGATGTCTTCAAGTACCTGTGCAACGATTGAATGTAAAAGAAAATGACTACTAGTTTGATTCGGTGTACAACTGCCATAGAATTGCCTCAATTTATGATCAAAATTTTGCTTGACTTGATCGATAAGCATTCTCAGATCAATTCGTTTGTTTTCCACATCTTTATTCCACAATGGTTCCATGTCGAAGAATAATTTACTCGGACACGAAAATCGACCAAGATTGATTGCATAAGAAGGTACGATAGTCTTTAATGACGTATGATAATTTCCGAATACTTTGTCGTTGACAAGTTTTTTTAACTCCGGCCATTGAATCTCCATCTTTTCTCGTAATGCTCGGTATTTGATGGTAAAATCTGTATACAATTTCATTGGTCGATCGTGCACTTCCACTGTTGTTAACATAAACAAGACGAATGAGACGAGTTCACTTGGAAGTATCGTCGAATAATCAGTACCCATATTACGAGCAAGTTTAGTAACCGAACGAACAAATCGATGATGAGATTTGCCCAAGAAATCGCGTAGATGTTCGTTGTCGATATCGATTTTCTTCAACGAATCATACAGTGGAATGCCACAGAGAGTATCGAAAAGTACATTGTATAACTCTTGTTTGACATTAAGCAAATGCTCCGGTCCGAATTTCGTTTTCGAACATTGACTCTCGATGCACATCAACGCAAAACGTTTTCGTAGAAGAATTTGGATAGTATCGTTGTCCAACTGATTGTATTTATGGTTAAAATTCAAAATTCGACACACCGCTTGAATTGGCTGCCGTAAAAGTTTATCTTCGTGCTTAATGACTTGTCTGATCGCATCGGAAAATCTCATCCGGGTTCCTTCTTCGGAAAACGTATCAGTTGTATAGATGCTCTCAATCATCTGCCGTAGAATATACTCTTTGACGTTCTTATCGAGCCAGTTGAATTGACATTCATCAATTATGGAAAAAAGTAACATTTGTACATGAGGAAGAATTCGATTACCAGTGAGAGTTTGAAATAAAGTGTAATTAATAAACTTTCGATTCGATTCGGTTGACCAGTTCAAGGGCAGAAAGCCTGAGTACGGCTCGCGATAGAGAGTTATCTTCGCTGGAGATGAATTCATGTAAGGTTTGGCGCAAAAACCGCAAACAGGATTTGCAACGAGACAACCCGCTAAATTTTCGTTTCCTTCCAGAGGAAAGTTAATGATGAAATCGCTTGTTGTATCATCAAGATTCATCGGTGATTTTAACCAGAGTACGAACGGACCTTGTTCCATGCAAATTGCGCATTCGAAGAGAGGAACATTTGTATGATCCAAGATGTCGATTGTATCGGAATGTTCGTCATCATTTGTCGCGAGAACTCGCGCTCGATTGGCTCGATTCGATGCGAAAGTGAAATCGTTGATCGAATAAGAACCTGTTTCTTGCTCGTGGATGAGATTTTGAATTGTATTCCAATAATGGCGTGTCTTATGCAAATTTTCGTTGACATATTTCAGATATTCGATTTCCTCGAGTTTCGCTTGATCGGATACTTCGTGAAGTTGTCGACGAAGGTTGTTCAATTGTTGGGAACCTTCGGTTTGATTCAGCAGTTTCAGCGTAACGATTTGTGAAACGATCTCGTCGCGTTGCCGACAGAATTGAAACGGAAACTTCGATTTACAGCTTTCCGTATCCATTTTTATTGCTTGCATTTTCATTTGTGAAACAAATGTACGAAAGTCATGTAATTTGTTTCCAATTTTACCATATTGAATCAATGTTTTCCAATCATTTTCATTTAAATTCGAAATCGATTCGACATCTTTGATATTTAAAAATTGATTCAGATCAATGACGACAATCTCTTTCTCATCATCACGAATTGGAATACAACCTTCGGGAATCGTTTGATGTTCATAGATTTCCGTGTTCTCGAATAATTCTTTCATATTCAATGTCTTCAAATTTTCATATGAACTCAAATCACCCGATGGTGAATAGAAGTTCGCGATATACCCTTTCGATGAGAGAATATAGAAGATCTCGCCGTCGTAGACAAGACATAGCACATTCGATGCCATCATCAACGGTGCAACAACAGACACATTGATCTGCGATGGTGATCCGTACTTATTCTGAACAATAATACAGATAACCAAAGCTTTATTTAGATTGTCTTTTGTATAAGCGGCAAACTACAAAGAACAGCTAATCGATGTCGATATGATTTGATGTTTCTACCTGAGTAACACTGTGATTGTCGATTTCTCCATCGGTGACAAAAACAACAACGTCACATGTTTGAAATGCATTTCGTGTTGATTCATTTTGAAAAATTGCTATGGGTGACGTACCACCTTCCGGTCGTGCGGATTCAATATCTGAGCATAATCTTGCAGACGAATTCCAAAGCACAACGTGATCAAAATTCGTTGCTTGACAGATACTCAATTCAGCTTGCAAAACATACTTTCCAGTTGTTATTAATTGTGAACCTGTAGATCCCGAGTTGTCAATGAATATTCCAGCAGAAAAATCTATCTCACAAAAATCAAGTTTCTCCAATCGAAGTTCGAAAAAAAAACTCTACCGGCTACTTTCTTCAACTGAAAATCGCTTTTCGGTATAGTAATCACATACGGTGATGTCATTACTAGACGATGTATACTGTTTGCGGAGAATGGAGAATAGTCTTATATATAGCGACGTATTACATCATCCATTCAACAAAAGAAGTCAGTTTTTTACATACAATTTACGTAATCGGAGGTCATGGCGAATATTTTATAGTGTAAGATAATGCAATGAGTGTTTGTTTATCAACGACTCGTTACATCAGATACGATTTTGAAAACTCGATAAAGAATGAATGAAATATTTAGTCAGCTTTTGTGCATGTCTTGAGATTGCTTCATCTTTACTTCGAGTGCAAATCGCGATCGGCCTTTCGAAGTTAATTGGTTACAAAGATCGCCAGCAAATCTATGCCATTTAGATATCATTGATAAACTATTTGAAAACGAACGAACATTTCATTTCAATCATCAACAATGCATCGTTTGTTAACAATTATAGTTCTTCTCATTTTTCTTACACAAGCAAATACTTGGCCGATCAAACGACAGAAACTAACTTTGAATACCAATGATACATGTTGTGTCTTAGTGAAACTGAACATCAATGCAACACGTGCAAATTACGGTCGAACGTTCTTCGAGAGCTTGATTCTCAATAATGATTCCTATAAGGATGTTAACGAAGATAATGTATGTTCATTGATGCATTTTTTTATGCAAGAAGCCGTACTGAACGGTCGACCCATCAAGTTCTCTAAAGGTTGAAAATGTTAATCAGAAAAAAATGAGACCTTTTTTTATCCTTTAGGTATGTTTGTCCTTTATGATTCAACAAAAGAATTTTTTGCCCGATTAATGACGGCGAAAGATGCTCAAGTTCAAGGAAGTGACGAGCATCGCTCGGGTTATTTCAAACGCTTGAAATATTTTGCTCTTAACTCATTGAAGTCAATATTTAAACTAAAACAAATGAATCGAACTGTTCCCGATGCATTTATTTATGTCCGCGGTGACGAATCATCACATTTTCGGGAAAGAGCGCTCTCGAAACTACGTCGAGCAAAACATTATCCAGCCTAGTAAGTCTCTCGAGTTGCTCCACTTGAAAAATCTCTCATCGTTTCCTAGTGGAATGGATGTTAAACACGGCTGCATGCCAAACGGTTTCGGGCATATTCTCTTCGGTAAATTAAAAGGTTTATACAACAACGAATCCGATCCGTATTATGGCGATCGAATATACATCAAACCGGAAGAGTTTGGATTGCAGAAATTTGCACATTATATCGGACGTAAGTGTGTTGTAGAAGAGAGAAATATAAGGAAGACATCTTTAGAAGAAAATGCGTCTCGATTTTCGTCTTAGTTGTCATGAATGATCACCAATGTATTCATTCATGACAGTTGTCTTTGTTCCTTCGAGTAAACAAACGATGATTATTTGATGATGTTATGAATAAATTAAATAGCAAATTAATTTTTTAGATTCGGGCAAATATCTTAAAAGTATTTCGCGTCGTGTAATGTGCAAAATCGCGAAATTTCAAACGTCACCTATTTGTTCGAAAGACGAAGCCTTTCGCGAGAGTATCGACACGAAATTAACTCGAAAATGGAACCAGATTCTTTCCACCATTCCAATCCTCACCGAAAACGAACGAACATTGATGCGTTCGAAAGTGTCTCAAGAAGGTATTCATGAAATTTATCGTCAAGCCTCACTTTATGCCGCCGATTACATTCAAGTTCGCGACTTTCAACAAGAATTAGAACACAAATACGGTCGCGATGCCCGGTCACGGAAAGGAAATGAGATTATTTTTACTACGGAACAATTATTACAAAGTCGACTATCATGTGATTCAACAATGCTAACAAATAGTTTAGTTCCTCAGACTCAATGTGCAAAGACACGCTAATTAGCGTGTTCAATGTCACTCTTTAACTTCTGCTTACGAACATCGTCATTTTTCTCATGTCGAAGTTGATTCATTATGAAATTTCTCGATTAAATATTCTTTTCTTTTTCCAGAAATTGTCTCTCTAGAGTAAGTGAATTATATAAACGTTGAGAAAGAAGATTTATTCTCTTTGATTGTGTTCACTAAGGCACGTCTTTCTATTCATTTCAATTAGACATCCTCAGAATTTTTCTTTTTCTTACTTGCTAACAAAGAAATGCTTTTTCTCAAAAGCAGTTCTCATGATTAGTTTCTTCCGGCAAGGAAAAGAAAGAAAAACTCATGTTCTTCCATTTCAAAACTTGAATCTCACCGAAAATTTACTTTGACAACAACGAAGACAAATCTCCCCCGATGCGAGAGTTGCTTGCCTTACCAGATCTCATTCATACCTTGTTAATCGTTTATTTTAGCCAAACGTCACGTTCAATTGATGATTATTAAACCCTTAACCTTGCCGTTTATCATTCTATTCTAGTTTTTTGCTCTAGAACAAAACTTCACATTGTCCGGGACAGTGAGTGCGCACATCGATTAAAATCGGGACGTATCTTTCATTTTTTTCTCTCTCTCTCTCTCGCTTTCACACTTGCTTCTCAGCACACTCTCTTTCCCTTTTCTCGCTAATATTTTTCTTGTTGCATTGGAGACAAGAGCGAGAGAGAATCGGATTGCTCAAAAAAGAGATAAAGATCTTCTTATTCACTCGAGACACAAAAGAGAACGACATCGGCAACAAGAATGGATTTGATGTTTTACAACGCCCAGATTCAACCGAATTGAAAAATCATGACGAGAATCAATATGCGAGGTCGGCGATGGTCCGATGCTCTTCTATGCAAGTAAGTCAATATTAACTGGACAAAAGTGAGTTTTATCGGAACTTTAATGAAGATGTATATCATTTCCCTAAAGACAAAAGTTCATTCTTCGGGATGTCCGTTTTGTTCGATAGTTGCTCAGATAATGAATTTCCGTAACACAACCAATCGAAAGTTATTTGAGTGTAAATTGTATCTTTCTCCGCAATTGATTTTGTCTAACTGAAGCAAAAATGGCAACCTGGAGTAATACTCGTTCAATTTCTAAACGGAAGGAGGAATAAAAAACTTATTTCGATAAGCAGATGAGATCCTTAAAATAAGCTCACCGATTTATTCCCTAGTAAGATTTACCTTCAGCCGTTCTAATCTTTGTTTAGCAAAGCTTAGATATGCTCGAGTCTCAATGTAATTTTCTTCTCTGACCTTGAAATAGTTGTTTTCCTAATAAACTAGATTGTAGTCTAATCAATGAATACACAATCGCCGTTTTGCTTTCTTATTCATCTGAGTGCTGGAAAGTTATTAAAAAAATAACAACAGATGACGGATGATGACAATATGAAATGCCTCTCTAGCACACGAAGAATTGAGATGATTGATTTGACGGAATAATGTTCAATGTTGTTCCTTTGTTCGTGAAAGTCTCTCCGTTTAAGCACATGTTGTTGTTCGCTTCGAGTGTCTTTTGAAAATCTTGAGAAAGCCGACTAATTTGATTGGAAAATGTTAATCTACTCATCAATATTTGATATTTTGACAAGAAATTTTCTTCCTTTTGCGACATGAGAACAGAACCTTCTGTCATTGTTTTTTTCCTTGACTAAATCCTCACATTTGACTGCGCAATTGGATCTGTCTCGTATCAAATCATGTTTATGAGAAAGACCAAAAAAAAACGAGCCTATCAGCCGTTTTACGAGTCAAAATGGACGAAAAAAAAGAGAAAATAGCTTATATATTTACCAATTAATACAAAGGGAAAGCAGCACTTCATTAAAATGTTGTTTTCTCTCCCCCCCTCCTGTTTCCTCTACAGTTCGATATAAAAAAAGAGAAAAGAATAGGTCTAAATAACATTCTATTTGATAGAAATTGATAGACAGTGTCAATGTAAGCCGAAGAATACGTAATGAGTACTAATAGTCAAACGCGCATCACACGCAAACTACCAACGATTTCGCCTGAACTTATTTCTCAGAAAAAACAATCTCAGCCATATGCAGCGACAATGCCCACTCATCAAAACAGGTTTGAAAAACATTGTTTTTGTCTTCAATGATTCTTCAAAATCGATTAGGCTCATTAGAGACCGTCAAACTTCGTTTTCCTGCCGTAATAATGCTCAGAAAAAAGGGTCTGACAAGAGAAGCAAACTAACGAAGATGTTTTGCTAACACGTCACAAAAAATATGTACTTTCAGCTGTTTAGTTAATTGCGTAGTATTTTTCAGACAACCAGGCGCTTGAAAGCTTTATTCTGTATGTGCAACGATGCGATTTATCGAGTGAGAACAAATAATCGGTAGCATTTAATGTTTTATTGCCATTATGTTGCGCACAATAAATGTATATTTCATCTTATTTTATTTTTGATTAAATTTCATAAATAATCATCTATTCCCCAAGGTTTATTCTCAATTGATAGAGACCTTAGCCCTAGAAAAATTCATTTTCTTTTCCGTCTGTATCACGAAAGAAAGTTCTTTATGCTCGTAGACATTCTTTTTTTCTTCTTCTTCTCCTCATTTTTCTCCTTCGAACAAGCAAGCATCAGCATAAGCACATTGAAAAATGAGAGAAAGAGGAAAAAAAAAGAAACACGGAAATACTATTTTTCCTCTTGCTGCTTTTTCATACCCTCCTTTGACGTGTGATAGAGAAAAAGTAATCAAAAGAGAATATTTAGTTCATATGTGAACAATGACTCTCTCGTTATCTCAACAAGAATCAAAGTTCTCAGCGATATTGTCCAAACGGTAGATGACAAATGAGCAAATTGATTTTTTTATTTCTGTTCGTTTAGATTCGATCCCGAACATGGCAATTCATTTCTCGAAGCGTTCGAAACTGTAACTCAGAAACATGAACAACGAAGACAGAAAATTAAAAAAGATGTAACTACTCTTCCAGATTTCAGTTGACTTATGTTTACTCGGCCTTCTTTGCAGGAAGAACTTGAAAATGAGAAATCACCTCCCGAATATCGAATAACGTTTGGTGAAAAACCCGAAGGCATCACATCGAAAGAGTATGAACTACTCTATATCGAAACGCTCTACACAATCAAACATAAAATCGGCACGACGACGTCGAAACATAGAGAAGGAGAGAATGATCTTTATGCTTACGCTCAGGATGCATTTGGTTTATCACCGGCAGATCATCGACGTTTATTAGCAAAGGCGAGTGAAGAAAAGGTTTGCAGGCAAATGTTCTTTTTCATCAAGACAATATATTGTTGTGCTCTGTTATTTCTAGCCACCTATTTTAATCTTAAATATTGAAATTGTCGAAGCGAAAGATTTGGAGGCCAAGGACGCGAATGGTAAAATTAATTATTTTAAAAGTTTACGTTTCATTTGACATTATTTAGGATTTTCCGATCCGTATTGTATGCTGGGTATCGTACCGGAAATCCATCATTTTCCTTTATCACGTCAGACGAGTGGAGCCGGTGGTGCGTCGTCAGATGAAGAAAACGCCAATGATAGTAAACTTGGTTTCATGAAACGTTTGAAGAGTTTTCGTAAATCGACTATTCGCCGTTCCCAAGGCCGGGAGAAGAACGCATCGTCATCGAATTCACCTTCGCCGGCAGCGTCGTGTTTGAGAGATAAACTCCCGGCGAAGTATATTCAAACAACTGATGTCAAAAAAGCCACATTGAATCCGATTTGGATGGAAAAATTTCGTTTGTAAGTTGTAAGAACGCTGAAATCGACCTCCGATTGATCAACCTTTTCGTTGTTAAGTAATATTGAAAGTAGTAAAACAGAAACCATTCATTTGGACATCTGGGATCATGATGATGAGTTCTCGGTGTTCGAAGCCGCAAGAAAACTCAATCAAGTGCAAGGATTCAAAGGTTTGAACAGGTACTTTAAACAAATTGCTCAATCTGCACGAACAAATTCCAACGATGGTTCGCACGTTGATGATTTCCTGGGCTCAGTTAACATTAAAATTAGTGTAAGTTAATAACGACATTTTTGATTAGTGTTATTTTCCTGTTTTTTCCATAGGAAATTCCTTCGACAGGGATTGATAAGTGGTTTGCACTTGAAGGTCGAAGCGAAAATTCTAAAGTTCATGGTCAAATTCACATTCGAGCCAATTTAGCCACACGGGAAGATCGAGGCGTTTCCGAAGAAGATAATTGGACTGATATCAAACAACATGTCGAGCTCTTACAAATATTTATTGATCACGAACTAAATACATATAAGGTTTGATTCCATTTTCCAGTCCATTAGTATGTCAAGATGAAATGGAGTTTTGACAGATACTTATTACTGGAATTTGTATTGTCAATTGAATCATTTCGAGGCGTATCTGATGTGTAATCAATAGTTAGGACAGTTTCTAATCGATTTGAGTGCTTTGAATAAGCGTAGGCAACATCAACGTTGATTTTTGTAGGGTGCAACAACCGAGTGGAGTGGTGAATTATCACGTGATGCTGAAACAATCCTTCATCAACATGCGATTCAAGGTGATATCACCGATATACAACGGAAAATGTGCCGATGGATCGCCTACTCGAAAAAACATCTAGAGCGAACGTTAACACATCGACTGTTACTGTCAATAACCGAACAATTGGAACAAGCTTGGCAACCAACCTCCCTGAGTCGAGATGAAAGCGATATGCTACGAGAAGGATTTACATTATTCATCAATCATTGTTTTAAACAATTAGGACGACTTCGTGAGTTGTTTCCCGCTGCAAATCGATTAGCGATGGAACGTCTCGAGCAACTTCTCACGTAAATTTCCCTTTCAGCTCGCTTGTTTTTCTTCTTATTTCTCATTCATAGGATCGTCGGGAAACTGCACAGCATGGAAGTGTTTCGCTATTGTTGTCCATTTCAAAATAGTCTTCAACACGAACTATCGTTAATTATCAAAGCGGGGACAATCGAATGGTTCGATCGAATGGTTGCCGAAATAACGAAACCACGATTACGAGTTCGTTGAAATCGAAATTCTTTGATTGAATGTCAAATATATCTGTTTTGTTTTCAGTCAGATGAAGATATTTTACGCAATACAAGCGAGTTAGTCTACGTTCTCATAGCCGATGGTAAGAAAATTCCTCTGCGCACAAAATGTGCATCGAACCATTTCTGAAGGAAATGAGGAAAAAACGTCGAGAGTAATGCGTAACTACTTTCGACAGCGACTTTCTATGTATTCATCGAGATGTAATGAGATTGGAAGTTAATCAATATCTTTTTATGTTCCCTTGAGTTTCAATGCATCTGTTCCTTGTGACGAAAAACGTATTCATCTTCAGTTTTTCATTTCAGCTCACTCGGCTGTGAAATACTATAATCCTGTGTTTGAATCGTACGTGAAATCGACCTTAACTCTGAACTTTTCATCTTCATGTTGCATTTAGAACGGTGAAATTGGCTTTTTATCATATATCGTTCAAAAAAATTGATGTCAAAGTACGTTACTCGATGGTGTCTAGTGAATGGTCTGATGTTTCATAGAAAAAGAATGAAGACTAAGAATAAATGACACGTATTCAATATGTATTCCTTTGAGAAATATCTCTGGTGATCTCTTCAATGGATTTTCCATGAGAAAGAACGAAAGTCTCCTAAGAATATCCACTTCATGTCAATTGAAAACAAATGACAAGTTTTGTTTGAAATTTTAGCTTATGGAAATCATTACCAAAGCACTTGAAGAAGAAGTGAGTCAAATTTAATTGAGCATTCATCATTATGAAGTCGGTTTATATAGCTTGGTGAACAAATTTATCAATCGCCATTGAAGTTGTTGGAAAATACCGAGCCTGACTCGGCGGACATCGCTGCATTCGCATCCGCAGCGGAGCAGACCAGTTTATCCCTATTCGAATTGTATTTATCTCTCAATGAACTTGCTAAATACAAAGTCTATGTCAATGAAACGTATGTAAACGCATTTTTACTTAAAGAAAAAGAACACATTTCGTGTTTCTAGTCATCGATCAAATCTAAAAATTAATCAATACTATGGATACTTCGGTGTTGCCATGAAGAAATGGTTAGCTGTTGTTCGGAACAAACTTCTCCATCGGATTGAGTATGCTCTTGATAAAGATAAGATCGATTCATCGATGAACAATAAATTCACTTCATCATCGTTGGATGTCGCGAATTGTTTTCAACAGATGACCCAGTTTTGGAAACGATTAGGTAAAAAAGCAAAGTAAAGACATTCTTCGGACTATATTCTCTTCTCATTTTAGCTTGGCCAGATATAATTAGTTCAATTGTATTTTTAATTAGAATTACAGAAGACATGGCGAATGTCACTCGTCTTTATGCAACGTTGAGCGAAGAGAAATTAAACGCCAAGAAATTCCACGATACCAGTGATTTACTTTTTTATGCGCAAGAAGTAAGATTAGATAATTTGTAATGAAATTTCATTTGAAAGTTTCATTTCTCCAGCTTTCGTTAACTGCCAATAACATCGAACGTATTCGTGAATCCTTCAAAGCCTTGCCGATCGAACTGGGTTATGATAAACTACTAGTCGCCGCGGAAAAATTTCATCCAATCGCTGTTGTAGACGAATATCGAAAGAAGATCGAAACATTAGTCGCAAGTTGCAGCCAAGAAATCAGTGACCGTATCTATCAGATTGTGAATAAAGTGATCTTTAATATGGAAATTGAACTTAAACAGTACTTATTTCATGTCATCGAAGCACCAGATGCGAGCGATATTCAAGAAACTGTTCTGCCATTGTTGAATTTTCTTAATCATCAATTGGGTTCGTATCGGGAGTTGTTAATCCGACAAAACTTTGTCAGGTAATGAGAGTCGCAAGGAAAGAAAATCAGTTTCGGATGAAAGTTTTGGTTTAGATTACTCGAACTCATATGGACGAAATTACTCGATCAAATCTTAGCGGAAGTTGAATATAATGGTTCTTCTGTAAGTCGAACTGATATTCCTCGAACTGATTTTCTCAACATTTTCTCTTCAAGAGATCAATGGCGTCGTATTTACGACTGTTAAAAACTCTTGATTATCTCACGGAATATTTGACGAATGATGATCAGTGTTTACCGAAAGATACTCTGAAAACTGATAAATATCGAGTAAGACGTTCGAATTCTTCATATCTGTGGAAACTCTGCTCTTTTAGCTAGTGAAAAAACTCTTGAAATATCAATCGAACGATACTCAATCTTTGATCAAAACTTATTATCAGGTAAATTCAATTCTTTCCTACGCACACACTTCATCCAAATTTGATTTTAGGAAAAACTTCAAGAACAAGACCGCGCAAACAACTCAAGTCAATCAGACTTAGGTAAACTCTATTGTCGAGCTTACTACCATCCCAAACAGGAAACCTTGTACATTGAAAGTAATTTCTAATTTGGTTTTCCAATCTTTTTCTATCCTTTCGTTTCCAGTTATTTCATGTAAAAATCTCAAATCATGTGATTCGAATGGTTTAAGGTATGAAGCATGAGATTCTAACATTTCCGATCATTTGAATTGAATTCTAGTGACCCATATGTTGTTATACAATTGTGTCCGACGTTTTTGTATCCACATATTGAAAAACAGCAGACATCGATTATCAAGAAAACATTGAATCCTCAATTTAACGAGAAATTCGAATTGTAAGTGCTAGTTTCGGCCTTGATTGACACTCAGGATTTGGCATTTTAGTCGCTTGACAGAAAAAGAATGTGGTTTATCTGGTGGAATCGTTCATTTCGTTGTGATGGATCATGATTTGATGTGGTCGAATGATTTCGAAGGTGAAGCATTTCTTGAAATCTCGAAAATAACGGGAGTGAATCATGACAATCGAATGGTTGATGAATTGAAACAGATCGAATTGGCTTTAACACATCCGAAAGGTAGAACTGCCTCGAATTGCACTATTTTTTATTGGTTCGAATTGTTTTAGTGCTGCGAAGTCGCATTATCGAAATCTTAGAGCAAAGAATCAATGACAAAACAGCCGTGGAGTTTGTTCGAAGACGGCGCGAAACCGAAAATCAATAAATTTCATTTCCTTCACGGATTCTATTTAATCTTCTTATGTATGAACTTTTATTTTACTGAGTAAACGTTTGAAAAGAAAACACGAATGTATATTTAACCTATCTTCGAAGAGATTGCCTCTATTTTTCTTTCTTTTGTTTATTAAGGATAACAACAAAACACGGATAACAGAAAAAAAAACATCAGGCAAGAGCTGATGTTCCTTTAATAGTCAATATAGCAGCTGATCCTTTGTTCTTTTTACGTTTTTTACCCTCCGCAGAGGATAATTTCTGTGTTGCATCAGCGAACAGAATAACATCATTCTGTTCTTCGATTTGTCGTCGAATTAGCTTCAAACCTGCATAGTTAAATCCAACGTTGTTCTAAAGATAAAACATTCGAGTTTTCTCGGCAATTTTTCTCATCAAAATTTACTCGTAATGTTTCCACGGTTTCCATACAACGTGTTCGCAATTGTTCGACAATGTTCAGATACTGATGTGATGATGTCAGAACACCATGATGGATTCTGAAGAAATGGAAAACATGAGATTTCCGCAGGAATGGAAAGAACATACTTGATTAAGAATACCGCACATTTCACGCACAGTTCTGGTGATTGAAATCGATCGAGATAATACACAAGTAATGTCAATAGTTTTTGAACGTAATCGAATGGAAGTAGAAGAAGTGCTGCTTCCAAATCACTAAACAAGAAAATTCGGTAGAATTATTTGAATTTACAAGACGAAGAGTCGATTACCTTGCAGAGATTTTCCGTAACGATTCCAGAACGAAACGTTCGGCTGTATAACCATTTCCTAGCGCTTGTAACATAATATGTGGGGGTGGTAATGGAACCTGAACAAAATTCTATTCAACGAATTTTTGGAAAATTATCGATGAATTACTTCTTTTCCTAATGCTTTTTCGGTTGCATCATGTTCGGCAAGTTTCAGTTTCTCTTCTCGCCAAATGTCGAGTGCTTCGATGACACTTTCAGCCTATGAATGTCAAACGCAATAGGATGAATGAATGAAAACGGAAAATACGCACGCCTTTGAGACTTTCGATGGTTTTTAAAGCAGCTAAACCGATTTCTTTGTTGGTTTCGCCAGGTAGAATGAATTCATCATTTTCCATTTCGTTTTCAAACTGAGCTTCACGTTCCTGGAAGAAAAAACACCATTCATTATGATCAAAATCAATCGGTTGGTCATCTAACAAATCTAACCTGTTCCTTTTCTTCATCAAGAATCAATGGTTCTTCCGTTCTTTCCCATAATCGAATCGATCGATCATGAGCAGCTGTTGCAATATGCATTCCGTTATTCGTAATTGACATACATCGGATTTCTCCACAGTGACCCTACACAGAAAACACATTTTTTAACAGGAAACTCTCTTTTTCCTATTCGAAGCGTACGTCCAACGTTTGAATATGTAAGAATTTATCAGCATCCCAATATTTCAACTTGTTATCTTTTCCAGTCGAAAAGAAAAGATGCGTTTTCGGAACGAATTGTACCGCTGTTATTGTATCGTCGTGAGCAAATAGAGAGCGATGGCAATCACCGAAATCTAAGCCCCAGATTTTGATATTTCGATCACTTGAACCAGTTATAACTAAACGACTGTCGAATGATATGTCAAGGCAAAGAACAGGTTGTGAATGACCATATAACGACAGGAACATCTGAAGAATCGATGAGATGAATGTTGAAAACAGAAGAGAAATTTTACTTGACATGAATCCATGAAAAAGACTTTTACAGTTGTGTCCATTAATGCCGCAACAAAATATCGATTGTTGGGACTAAAAAGATCAAAGATAGAAGTTTGTTTTTCGTGAAAGGACAATTAACTAACGAGATTTTCAGAGCTAAGACATCTTCACCAACATCAAACGAACGTTTATGTTCAAATGATAATCGTTTTCTCGTCTAAATTATCATCCATATTGATAAATATTCGAAGAGAAAAGTTTTACTTTTTTCGATTGACTCTCTCGTTCATCTTTCAATTCCAAATTCCAAAATTGAATCTTTTTATCGCTTCCACCGGTCAAAAACGATTGCTAAACAAAAGCACATACCGAACAGTCCGATACATTTCCTTTCCTACTTTATCCGGAGTCATACACATCGTCCAAACAGATTGATTCTCCTCATGTCCTTGAACTGTCTCAACAATCGAAGCTGAATCCAGCGATGCAATTTGAAGTGAACCATTCTAAAACACTGAAAATGTCTCATCGATTACTTTCACATCGATCACTTACTTTACATCCAATCAAAACTAAATGATCACCCGGTAGAAACATACAGCAAAGTGCATAAGTACAAGGAATCGTTCGTATCGATTCACAGCTATTTCTGAAAAATCAAAGAGTAAAGACAATCCTTCAAGTGCACACAGACCTGTTCCAAATTTTTAACGATTCTCCACTTCCGGAAGCGATTAACATATCATCTGAACTGAACGCTAAACAACGCACTTCGGTTCGATGTGCCAATTTTTCAATCGAAGGCAACTGTTCGACTGTCTTATCTTGAATATTTAATAAATGTAAATCCAGTTTGTTACTCAATGTTAATGCCACGATTTTGCATGTCATTTGAGTTTCCATAAACATATCCAATGCTCGAACTTTTCCATCGAATTTAATTTCGCATAAGGATGTAAAAACTAACGAAAGATCCCAATCGATTTTAATTGCTTCATCACTGAAAAGAAGCATTTCAATCGAAGAAAAGCATAACAATATCTTACTTCTTTTCATCACCATTTTCTTTTCGTTTTCGCGCTTTAGACAAACGTTTACGAAGACGCGTACGAATCTCATCAATAGTTGAAATACGAAAGAATTCACCGAAATATTCCACACCCTAAACATATTCATCGTAGAAAAATAAAGATGATGATAGGAAAGTCAAGACATACATGACAAGCGAGGATACGATCATCTTGATCAACATGTAGATTCGAAACTCGTTGTTTACTTTTACGAACAATTGAACCAAGCGATTGAACATGAATTGGTACTTGATCTTCATTCGTTATTTCATCGGTCATAGGTGGAAACATCAAAGCATCATCTTCATCCTATGTAAACGAAATAAATTCTGTTATTGTTCAAAGAATCAACTCATCATACTGCTATTGTTGATCGTAAAGCAAAAAATCGTAATTCGTTATCTGAACAACCAGTAATTAAATATCGATCGTATGCTAATGCGATGCTCCACACCTAAAGTTTGTTCGATACAAAAAATTTCATTCCAATGATCAATACAAACCTCTGTTCGATGTGTTACAATCGTGTGAAAACAATGTTGAATGCTCATATCCCAAAATTTAATTGTCATATCTCGTGAACTAAATTACACGTTCTTTTTATTGATAAATTCATTTTACAAGAGAAAAATATTACCTAGAAATTAATATCGGTTGATTTTTCATAATTAAAACTTTCGTAACCGGTGCTTTATGACCACGAAGTCGATAGAGACCAGCTTCAGTAATTAAATCCCAAGCGATGATATCCGTATCCTAGAAAAACATCGAATCATTGTACATCTCCTTCAATATGTCCAATTCTCCTACTTTCGATCCCGAAATCAACGTTGCTGAGTCGTGTGTAAATGTTAATGTTGTAATACTGGATTTATGTCCATGGAAATTCACTGTATTGTCATTTTGTGTAACTGTGAATAGTTTTATCATACCATTTTGATATCCAACGGCTAAATGTTTGCCATTTGGACTTGCAGCGACTACAATCGCTTCTTCACGAATCTTTTTCTTTAATGTCGATGATGATGCTGTTTCATCAACAAATGTATGGATCTAGATGAAATCTTTTATTACGAGACAACGAAGTGTATCATCGGTCTTACTTGCGCGTGAGTTTTCAGATCCCATAAAAGAACGTTTTCACATGCAGGAACGAAAATTCGACGTGAAGTTGATTTATTTGCTGCGGGTAATAGTGCAATATTACTTGCATTACCACTTCCTATGATTCCGAAGACTTTCTCGGGTGCATGTCGATCGTACTGTTTAGTAAGAACCATTTCTTTCTAATAACGCAACGAAACGAAAAGGAATTCTCGTTTGCTGGTCAAGCCAATTCCAATAATTAATCGTTTTCAAGCCTCTATGAGGAATAGATGTCGCTAGTGGAAAAAAGTACCAATAACAACAACAGTCGCTTTTTTATTTACTATTTCTCGAAGTCACTCGATCGTCGACATCAAAATGGTGACATAGCAGCACAGCAGCTGATGTTTCATTCTCTAGTTTAATGAATCATCAGACGACTGAAACATCTATCTCTTTTAGATCTCTTTCTTCTCTTTTCAAATATACGAAACGAGTGAAATACACGTTCACATAACCGATGGCTTACGCTTATCTTTTTAAATACATCATTATTGGCGATACAGGTCCGATTCGTCTGTTTTTTTTTCTGTTTCGTCAAAAAACTTCGATTGTTTTTCTTTTCTGATCGGTCTAGGCGTCGGGAAATCATGTTTATTACTTCAATTTACCGATAAACGTTTTCAACCTGTACATGATTTAACTATCGGTAGGGAATTGTTAAACGCATCTGATGTGATTTCAAAGGTTTCTTTCTTCACAGGCGTCGAGTTCGGTGCACGAATGATCACGATCGATGGTAAACAAATCAAATTACAAATTTGGGATACTGTATGTTAGTTCTGTTTATTTGAAAATCTACTTTACTTTTTCTTCAGGCTGGACAAGAAAGTTTCCGTTCGATCACACGCTCATACTACCGTGGCGCCGCTGGCGCTCTACTTGTCTATGACATAACACAGTGAGTGAATAAATAGAAAGATTATCTTGAGCAAACATTGATTCTTTCTAAATAGACGGCATACGTTCAACCATCTGACGAGTTGGCTGGAGGATGCTCGACAACATTCGAATTCGAATATGGTTATTATGTTAATTGGAAATAAATGGTAAATGTTAAGTTTCTCTTTTTTTAAGGTGAGGAATGACTCAATGTTTGTTTAGTGATCTTTTCGCACGTCGTGAAGTACAGAAAGAAGAAGGCGAAGCGTTCGCACGTGAACATGGATTGATTTTTATGGAAACATCGGCTAAGACAGCTGCTAATGTTGAAGAGGTACAGATTTCTCTCAAGAACTCATCGGCAGTGGCACAACACTTTCTATTCTTTTAGGCGTTTATTAATACAGCTCGGGAAATTTACACAAAGATTCAAGAAGGTGTTTTCGATCCAACAAATGAAGTAAAAACACAACGAATATCTTTCTTTTCGAATGATTTTCGCTTGTTTCATTAAGGTCAATGGTATTAAGATTGGTCCTCAAAATAGCAATTCAGGAACTGCAGCAAATCGTCCGAGTACTAACGCCAATGAGAAGTCAGGTTGCTGTTAAGACACTTCTAGATGACAATATAAATCAACCGCATTAGTTTCGATTCGTTTTTTTTTTGTTCGTGCGCATCCATGTATTTATGCATTGGTGTTGTCTGTCATTGCTCTTTGTCCGCTGTTGTTCGTCTCTTTTTATGAAAGCCAAAACACACTACATATACTTTTACTTAGATGGATAAAAATAAATGTTTTCTTTTTTGTTCTAGTAAACTTTGTTGAGGAGAACTATAAACCTTAAGACACGGAATATTCTTTCTCTTTCGGATTTTATTGTATATTATCATAGAGGAAAGGCTACTATTTATTCGCATATATATATAATACATATTTATCCGCTATTTCAATATACAGTGAACACGTTGTTTGTTTTTCTCTTGTTGTTGTTGTTTATTTTGAAAGATACACACACATATATATATCTCTGAAAAATGATACTCTTATTTCTTCTGATTTTCGTTTCGTTTTTGTTTTCTCTGTTGTCTGAACCTCTGTATGTGTGTATATGTGTTTGAAACAAAAGGAAGAACGAGACAAATAAAAATTAAAAGTCATTGTAGAACAATGTTTTTCTTTCAGAGTCTTCGTTCGATCACTGTAATAAGAATGGTAAGAATTCAAGTGTGAATGTCATGTGAAAGATTAATCTTCTCTTATGTTTGTTTATTTAGAATGAAAAAAGAAATTCGACAGGAAGGAATGTTGATTATTCCCGAATCGACAAAACAATCGCGAAAGACATTCTATTCGTTACATGATTATAAGAAACAAACAGATTTTGTCTTTTCTTTTTTGTCAATTGTAGATATTTTAAAAAATGTCACATATTGAAGAAGAATTTGAGGAAATCGAACGAAATTATGGATGGAATATGTTATTTCGAGTTAGTTTAGTACTTGATTATTTTCTCAATCATTGTCTGTCTATTCGTAGAAACTTGCCAATGATCATGGTGTTCGAACATTAGAGAAGAAGAATAACATTGCTTTGTTAAATATCAATCGAGGACTAAATCGATTTCGTGATGTTTTACCTTGTAAGAACTCATCAATTAATCATCGAATTGATTTGAATTTTGAATATTATAGATGATGACACGCGTGTTCGTCTTCAACATGGGCCAAACGATTATATCAATGCAAATTTTGTAGAAGTGCCTTGGGCTAATCGAAAGTATATCCTTACACAAGTAAATCATCATTTTCAATGCCATTCGACAATTCAAATATCTCATGTAAATGCTAGGGTCCGCTTCCATCCACCTCAGAACATTTCTGGCAAATGGTTTGGGAACAAAATAGTCGTGTCATTGTGATGTTAACGCGTCTAATTGAAAAAGAATGTGTAAGTAAAGAGTTTCTTCTTTTGAACAAAATCATTGGATATGTATGATTTAGAATAAATGTTGGCTTTATTATCCAGATTATGAAAATGATAGTGAATTGTTATACGATGCTGTTGATTTAAAAGTGACATTTATATCTGAGAAGCAGGAGGAATATTATACACAGCGAAAATTTGAATTAACAAACATTTTAGTGAGAAGAATTTAGTATATTGATTCGGAAGGAAAATAACACTGTTTATTTGATATAGACAGGAGAAAGCCGTCCAATAATCCATTGGTCAGATTTTGAATGGCCAGATCATGGGGCACCGAGTAGTCCCGAGCCATTTCTTCAATTGTTATGTGATGTTCGTCAATCTGGTGCCTTTGATTCTCGTTTTGGTGCACCAATTCTCCATTGTAGTGCTGGTATGATTATCTTGAGTAATTCATCCTTGTAATCGATATGTTGTGTTCTATTCTCTAGGCATTGGTCGATCTGGAACATTTGTTCTCGTTGATAGCGTTCTAAAAATGGTAAGAAAAGAGTTATTGTCGTTCGTATTTCGCATAGAAAGTTCTTCTCAGATTGCGCATTCAGATAACCCGAATGATATCTCGTTAGTCGAAGTTCTCGCTCATATCCGCACTCAGCGCCATGGACTTATTCAAACGGCTGAGCAATTAAGGTAAACTATCGGTTTAGATCGAGATCATTTTCCTAGTTCAAATTTAAGATTTTCATATATGGCTATTGCTGCTGGTTTGAAGGATCTTGATGAACTTGAACAATGTGAACGTCCATTCAATGAAAGTGATTTTGATGAATTAAGTGAAAGTGATAATGATAATGATTCGAAATTAAGTAAAAGTCTCGAGGACATTAATTCGGAATTACAAAAACGTGTTAATAATTCTCAACCGTTGTCAACAGCGTAAGAGATGCATGGAGATATGTCTATTTTTTTAAATATCTTTTTGTTCAATTTGCATTTAGGAATGATGTTGAAACATCGCTTCGTCTTCGTCAAGAACGTTTAAAACGTAATGAAGCCTTGGAGAAGAAAGTGAATGAAATGAAAGCGAAACTACATGAACAATCTCCATCTTCACATTTAAATGATGGAAAAAATATGTCGATATTAAGTGTTCTCTTGACAAAATATCGTCGTCCAATTTTCTTTGGTTTGATTACATTGGTGACTGGTTCCATTTTTTTATACAAATTTACTAAGAGTAATGATCGAACACAATAAATCTTCTTTTCTTCTTATTCCTCTCTTCTGTGTTAAAGTTTTTTTTTTGTATTTCTTCGAAGTAGAGCAAAATGTGAACGAATTAAATCAAATTCGATAAATAAATATAAACATAGTAGCATTTGATATAACAAATTAAGTTTTTCAACAACAAAAAAACGAAGCTTACGACACTCGGTATTCCCAGGCGGTCACCCATCCAAGTACTAACCGAGCCCGACGTTGCTTAACTTCAGTGATCGGACGAGAACTGGTGTATTCAACGTGGTATGGCCGTAAGCGACTAACAGTCTCGCTCGACATTTCGTCATACTCATTGACTCAGGATCTGTGTTCATTAACTTCTTTTTCGTCGTAAATGATGGAGTAATTGAAACCGAATACGTGACTTTCTCATATTTCCGATTGTAATACAATAGAATTAATAATAACTTACTCAAAGTACAAAAGAAAAACGAGTTGCATATGACTTCGTTCTCTGGTATCTAAATTGACTATTCACATATGATTACTAATAGATGATTTCTATTCATATCACACTTGGTCGGTGCATTCTACCCCTCCGGTTCTCATAACTCATCGAGCGATATTCGATAGATAAAACAACGCAAATATATAAACATAATTATCGCAACAAGTCTGTTTGTTTAATTACAAATCCATAAACAGAAGAACATTAGATACACTCGAGTGAAACAATAACCAACTGTCAGTTTTCATTTCAACTGCCTCGTCCAACTAGACAAGGTAGTTCAGTGCATTCATCTTTGATCATACACACTACTCATCAGTGTAGAAAGGATCTTTCCACAGGTTAGATTAAGAAAGATTCATTTTTGTTTTCATACTGTTCATTATTTTTCGTCGCATACTCACTGACAAGAAATGTCAAATTTGGAAAAAAAGAACTTTGACATATACACACGTATACATATTGAAGAAAAGACAAGAAAAACGAAAGTTTTGTTGTTGTTTTTTTTGTACCACAGAAATGGATAAGACAAATGAACCATAGAGAAGAACGAAAGAAAGAGAAAGGGTGTATTGTTTGAAGATTCGAAATACATGTGCAACGACAATGATACTACCACAGGTACATAATCTAGCACCATAGATTCTATTGGATATAAAGGAATTGTTAGAGTAGATAGTTGCATCGAGTAATTAACACCGGAAAAGTCTTAATCAACGAGAGAGATCATCGTTTGGGTCCAACAAATGTTTCTAAAGCGAACAGAAAAAGGATTTTCGCCAAAGAACATTGCAATTTACTTGTATATTCATGAGACGACGGTGATACTTCGGGTGTTGACAAATGAACGCAATCATCAGTTGACTAGAACAATCGACTGTAGAATTAGAGAGAGAATTTCATTCACATACGACAACAATCGTTGCTTTCGTTTGTGTAACAACTTTTAGAATGCCATATTCATCAAAATTAATATCTTCATCATTTTCCGAGATCATGTCGAAGATATCACTTGTTGTTCGATTCTTCTGTCGAGGTGATAAATCTTCGAACGAAAGCAATTGGTATATCTTTCGAAATCCAACTTAATTCCTTACCGATGAGTGATGCTGTTTTTTCTACGGCAAATATTCTTTGATTATCGTAACAACCAACTAATTCGTTGACATTCAATGGAACTAATGAATCATTCTAGAGAGAAATTCGATTAAATAAGACAAATTAATGACATGGATTCTCAACATACAGCATAGAAAACATATTGTCGCATAGAATATCTGAGTTTTTCGAAGATTGGTTGCAGAACTTTCAGAAGCGTTCGTTTCGGATCACAACGAACACAAATTGTTTTATTCGGAAAGTCGAGACGGAGTAGAATACGAGATTCGACATGAATTTCTTTGCCACTCAAACTCGACAATGGGTCTTGAAGATCAATGTGTTGCTAAAATGAGCATGAACTGAGAAACTTCTCGAATGAAATGCAAATGTTACCTGATCAGCTGTATATAATTCTGTTCGGTACCAGGTGATACCTCGTTTCGCAAATAGGCGATCAATTGCCTGCTGAATTGATTGAGATTCGTGTGCTGTTAACACTACAGCTGATGTCGAATCGGGAAATATGAAACGACAAAAACGCGACGTGTCAATTGATGAATAATCCTAAAATAATCGTATAAAATGCATTCGAAAACAGATTAACCAACTAACATTCAGGAGTTTTTTGTCCATTAAATCTCGATTGATGAGATTTGCCAATGATGAATCTTGTTGATTAATCTTTGTGATTTTATTTACATATCCAATCGGAGTTAATGGAGGTTTTGTTGGACTTTGCAAAGACATGGATGATGCTGTCGATGGAATCTTATTGAAGTTCAACGTTGGTGTTAATTCAACTGATGCTGATTTATTGCAATTGTCATAGAATGATGTATTTGTACTAGCATTTGCAGTTTGAGGAATACTGGACGATGAGGAGGACGTATCACGTTTAACTAAAGACAAACGTAATTAGTTGGTACAAGCGAACGCGCTTTCCATGAGGGAAATCTTAATTTGTGTTTGTTTGTTAGTATATATATGTGTGTTTTGTTTTTCGTATTGACTATCTACCTGATTAGAAGTCGAAAACACACGGAAATACGCTAAGCATCAATGGAATCTTCGTTGAGCGCATTACTCGCCGAGGTTGACACTGCAACGAACAGAGAGAGGAATCTTGATTCGATCGAATTCGATGAAAATACAGAAGAATATGTAGTGAATAGAATCAAACGGGGTGAATTGGATAATGTGCATTGAATATCATCATTAATTAATATCTCTGTTCAAAACTCAATTGAACATCAATATAATTAATACTGATAAAGAAGAGAGAATGAGGGAGAATGTATAACGTGCAATAAAACATGTTTATGGTGCGTTAATAACACTATCAACTGGTGACATGCTCTATCATTCTTTGTTGTTTCGCAGTGGAAGAAAAATATGCATGTGTATTGTGCGTTTTAGCAATAGATTAGGTTAAAGTCGATCAATCATTGGTTTCAGTTCACACCTTATTCACATGCAGAGCATCAACAACTGACATAAAGCTATCAACACGCATATACACAGAGACCAAACGTCTACGAGCAATAGCAAATAGCAACAGTACAAGTTGATGATCATTATTACTAATCTTTTCTCTATCTATTCGTGGCTCGATGTTGTTCGAGTTAACACGAGAAGATGGAGAAAGCAACATAACTAGGAGGAAAACGGGGGGTTAGTTATAAGGCAAGCTCTTGCTTTGCTCTACGCAAAGAACATCACAAAAGAATAAATCAAAGAAACTTGCTTGTCTCGGGCGCAGCTAAACAAATCGAAATTATGAATACAATCAATGAAAATATCGACCAACCTGATAGGCGTTTCCATTTAATAAACGCTAAAGAGAGAAAGAGAAAGAAAGCAACGAAGAGATTTAGAAAGAATGTCTTCAATTCTTTGAAATACCTTTCGTCCAAGGAATAAGCGGACTACGTTTCTTGTCTTTCTTTTCTTCATCTTTGATCTTCCCCTATGAAGACAAACATAAACACGTCGTATGTTGCTCAAAGTTTACATTGCATACAAGACTGTCGTTGCATTTCGATCGGTCTTCGTTATTGGTCGGTGGTGGTGGACTAGGTTTCGTGTATGGTATCGATTTGCCTTCCATTTCACTCATAATACATTCTTTATACATGTTGGATTTCAGAAACCTCGTATATGAATCGAGTTTCATCAATTGAAATATCTGAGATTGAGCCTTTTCGAATATATGAGCATTCGGTTTGTGTAATAGTGATTGGTAACATTCTTGTCGTGTTCGGCTGTCAATGTTGATTCGACATGATCCATCATCTGTATCATGTAAATATGTTGACCAGATCATATTTGCTTTCGAACGAACCTATAAGAGAAGATATAGAATAACTTCGAAATGAAAGGTAAAAGTTCAACTTCGTCGAGATCTGTGAATTTTTTCAATTTTTCGCATTCCGTCCAGAATTGTATGTTTTCTTGGCTAAATTCTTTCTTGAGAAATTCAGTAAATACATATAAACCCATTTCATCATTGAGCAATTTTTCAAAGCCAACTGCCCAGGAAGCAACGCGGCCGATGTCCAATAGCTTATTCGTTGCTTCGGCATCTTCATCTTCACATTGTTTATGAACGCTCGTTAGTGAATTGGAAATCGATAAACGTGTTACAGACAAATCGCTTGCTTCTTCATCGGTAACAGCAAGTGACTAAAGTAGAAAACAACATCGACTAGTTTTCTGTTCGATCGAAAGTACCGATATACCTTGGTCTTAATCAGTTTCGGTGTTAAGCGACGTGCTAATACCTCTGATGACTTCATGACTTACTCTTATTATATGACACCATCATTGAAAGGGAAATTGAACACGACAGGAGGAGGAGGAGGAGGAAAAAACGTATTGTAATTTCTCGGATGTTTTAGCTTTGCATCTTTCTTTCTCTCTCTCTCTCAGCGGTTCTCTAGACTAGATAACTTCTCTGTGAAGATGTTGCTAGTGTATCACTAATAAATATTATTCTCGCTAAGCAGTAGTTGATGTATTTTTGACTGTCACAAGAGTACATATGGCACGGCAATGTAAGGAATAGATTGGTACGAAGAAAAACAACGATCGTCTCTCGATGTCATTTCTCGTTTTGACAAACACAGATATCGAAAGAAACAAGGATACTCTTATATGACATGTTTCAAGAGCGGAAAATGCAACTAAGTGCCATTATTTATTTCGCTGCCTGGGTTCAATCTAGCTGACGGATAAGATGTGACTTGTTCCTGATTTTAATTGAACAAATCTAATCAATGTCAAGCACTTGGAAGTATTCATCGGGAAAAACAAATCGTTTATCTTCTCTACAATACATTGTAAAATTCGTGACGGAAATGATATCCTGACTTGACTACATACCAATGTATTCGGCAGTTTATAATCATTCACGCTAGACTGTCGACGGAATCCAATGGCTAGATTTCGTATTAACGAAAGGTGCGTTGGATTTATCGTACTATTTCGCATGATATGTTTTAGATGAAGACAAAAAGGCCCGACTATAGTCGTGTTAAATAAGAAAATGTTTTTGTTTTTCTAGTTGTAGTTGTAGAAATAGTAATAGTGATTGATTGCTGTTTGCGAGTGTGAAGAAAATAGAGAGAAAAGAAAGTAATTTTGTCTTCGATTCATTCTCTTCGAGATGTTTTTGACAAACACAGTTCGCTACTCTTCTAATTCTTAAAAGCTCACTAACATGCCATATAGAACACGTCGGTTCCGACGTCGTTCTCCATAGCGCGTCAATACATCGAAGTCTATCGCGCAAATGGATTCAATAGTAGACCGACCGTGTGTAATCAATAATTGAGACGGATAAAAAAAGAAGAAAAGAAACTAAGTAGAAAAAAATAACACAGTAGTTAACTTAGTCCTTACTTTCCTTCGATTGGATATGAGAAGGAGAAATGGAAACAATTCAATTCGAATGATTGATTGTTGAAATCTAATCGGCGAGTAGAGAAACAGACGAAAAAACAATTGGATGCAACGTATCGGAAGAGATTAATTTGGATGAGAAAATTCGGACTATCTCCATATGCACGTTGCCTTGATGAGATAGAACTCGACAGTCTAGATTTCTTCATCAACTAAATATTGTTCCTATCCGACAAGCAAATGCGAATAATTCGTTCAATTCTATTATACAGAAGTTCTTCTCTTTTTCTCATGCAGAAACATCGATTGTCGCTGAACAGATGGATATTATTTAGAAAAAAGTAAACTACCTGTACTCGTTGAAATTCGATCAGATCTGAGAAGTAAATCGGCTTAGTGTTCTCATAGGATTGTCTATACTTGGTTTTATTGTTTAACATTCTAATCGACGGAGATCATTGCATTTTCTTTTGTGTTTTCACATCTATTTCTGTAAAGGAAAAACTCTTGTCACGAGTATCTAATAGCATCACGAACTCATTCTAATTTGTTATTATCCAAGTGTGAAACAACATTGAGTAGAAAAAGAAAATGATCAACATCCTCTTCAGCAAAACAAAAAGACAATCAGAGGAACAAAGGTAAAAAGTTAATCAAGCAAAAGCTGATTCTGTCGACAAAAAGACAGCAACGGTTTGCGTTGACAAAAAAAGAAAGACAAAAAAAATTCTAACCTGAGCAGCATGACTGGGCAATGGTGAATAACAAGAAAGACGATGGAGCGGTCGAGGACAATCATTAATATAATCATCCAATGTTTTGAATGTTGACATTGACATGATTGGACTTGTCAATGCTTGTGGAGAGATCGAATACTCGCAAATCAAACAGTTAGATAAAATAGAAATGTAGACGGGCAGATTTCATCATCAAATGTTGTGTTAATGTCGATGTCGACTGAAGAAACACACATTGACAAAAATAGTTTGTGAAGATGTCGTGTGTAACAAAGAGATGAGAATGAGTGAGAGATTCTTATTAATTCTAATCGTATTAGAAAAGAAAAAAAAAGGAAAGATCGAAGAGCAAAAAACAAAAAAAAAGATATAGTCAAATGAGAAGATTTCATTGGAACTATGAGAAAAGCAAGAAAGAAAAACCTATTTTTTTCCCTTCTTGTAACGAAGTTGGATGTCGATGAGTACCGTGTAAATTTAATATACAGATACGTTGTCGAAGTCGGTTCTCATTATTAAACAATATTCGATTCCCGTGCGCGTTCACGCAGATGGAATTAGAGGCGGAATGAGGAATAAATGTTGCATCCGCAAGCGTGATACAAACTGAATAGACCGATGGCGACAGGCAACTAGTTAGTCCTACTTCCGATAGATGAAACAAGAGATAAAGATTTGCTTCATCCTAGTGGCTGATCTCAACAATCGTTTGAAATTTCATGGAAACTAATTATTAAGGCAATGAATCTCAACTAGACACTGATGTTTTGCATAGAGAGGAATCAACGGACTATTCTGCGTTTTCAAACTTGAACTTGCAAAGTCAGAAAATGAAGGTGAATAATCTTCTGTCGTCAGAAGATAACGACAGCATATTTTCTTCTCTCCTTCTCGTGAAAATTGACCATAATTGAAGGGCGAACGAGCAGTTCAAGGTAGATCTTCGTCTCTCTGCACATCAGATACTAATATCCAAACAAAATCTGTTGTAGGGAAATGTTTTTCCGCCGATTATCATTCCATTAGTTTCATTATCTCTAGGTAACCGAACAAGATTTTCCTCAATTGGAAGAAAACGACATTTCCTCTCGTTCGTAGGGTTCATTAAGATTTCAGATAACATTGCACACACATCGACAAATCATCCTTCCTACGGTGGTTTCAGATAGGATTCTTTGATAAATGATATTCTCTTTATTTCTTTCAGATTATATTAATAGTTGATTTCGCGAGGCGATTAACCAATCCGTCATCAAGACGAGTTAACTATTACTGATGGGCTTGACTTAATATAGATGTTTTTTGACTTGAGCTCGGCTAATCTCAACACATTCAACATCTGTCGTCGCTCGCGCGAAAAACAAACGATTCTTTACATGAATGAATGAAATGAAAAAAGCCTAATAGAAAGAGATGCGCTTGGTTTGAGGTTTTTATCAATAGAAATCTATTCAAGCATGAATTTGTCGTAAGAGTGGTATTCATCATCATACATGTTTGAAAAACACTTCTCCTTTTTCTGTTCTTAATGGCATCATCATCATCATCATCATTATTTGCTTGGAAACACATCCGAGCAGATGAATCTCGGACTGAAAAATATTCTTTTTCTCTTTAGATAGCAATATCCAACAGTGAATCTAGTGCGTTTCTCTCACATACCAAGATTGAAGTCGTAAAACTTGATTTACGCAATTGCGAATTGCGATGTTGATGATAGTTAATAATCGATGTTCGACGTTGATGCATTGGATGACCTGCTGCGCTCATATTAGCCGCATTGATCATTGACAATCGACGAGGATCGACATCCAGCAAATGTCGATTCGGTAGTACGGGATTCATAGGTAATCAATGAAAGAAGAAGAAGAAGAAGAAAAATCACAAGTGAATGCAAAGTGTTGTTGTTATTCGTGCTATAATAGTTGTTCTTATCGTTGTCATCGTCATTGCCAACCACCTACCATCTCAGAAGCACATAGGAATACACAAGAGAAGAGAGATAGAGAAAAAGATACAAGATGTATGTATAGACGAAAGTTTTACTCAGTGTTGTTACTTGAGGAAAAAGAAAACATAATGATGTAGGTTTTCCTGGAGGAAAGGAGAAAGTCAAAGCAAAGAATCGAGAGGAAAAGCAAGAAGCACAGGCCTGTCGTGTCTGACAATCTCCATTTAAATGAATACAATAATCATTCATGATGATGATGGGAGATCTTGCTTCCTTTCACTAGCATTCCATAGCGATTCTCCCTCTCTCTCTCTCTCGCTTGCTGCCTGTATCTTGGTGTCAAACAAAACTGATTCTTCTAACTGATGTTATGCACACAATGAAACAACGATACATATACGGATATTTTTTCTCTCTATCTTCCTTCTCGCTGCCTCTCTTTTCTGCTCAATAGCAAAACAAACGAATGAACGAACGAACAATCGCTCGGCCGCTCTCGTTCACATTATGGCCATTATCTCGATCGATTTCCCTTTTTGTTTCCCTAATAGATTTCGGAAGAACGAGAAAAAGAACAACAACGATGATCTCCATGAGAATAACAAGTTGAATCTGCTCTACGAATCGGAACAAGACTCTAGAATGTCAAATTCAATCTAGTCAACATCGACAACAACAACAACAATAACAATAACAATGATGATGATGATGATAATGATGATTGTCTAAACAATTGCGAACATGCCTTTTCTCTCTAAATACAAACTCGTTTCGACTATTGACAAACGACTCAATTGATTTGCCTATATCCGACTTAATCAGTAGCATGTTTTCGAGATCGGAAACAAAAAAGTAGCAGCTCTTGGGAATTCTTATGATGTACTTCTTCTTCTCAATATGATTAATCTGCTCGTTCGACATCAAACTGCATCTAACTGCAAGTGATTATTAGAGAGCTCCATTTTCTTTTTTTCTAGTGTTCAAGAGATTGATCGTTCTTTCTCTACATGGGAATTAGACAACATGTAATGAAGAATAACATAAGATGATATTGTTGTTTGTCCTCCAGGCATTTCCAAGAGTATCGAACGAGAGAAAAAAAGACGACACACTAGATGAATTACCCAACACTTTCCATTTCTGTCAAACATATGTCGTTAATTTCGATTGTCTATTAGAAATAACAAGATTTTGCCTCTTACATTTCGAAACAAAAACCGAATGATGGAAGAAAACAACGGAAATCTGATTTTCTTGAAAAACATTCTAATCGCACAAACTGGTAGAATTCCTTCCAGTCAAGTGCTTCTTTCGGATTATAGAATGACGACAAAAAAGAAAAACTCGACTGAAACAATAATTAAAATGTTTTCTTCGAATACAAGAAAAGCAAATTCTTCTGATCACCTCTTGTTTAGAAACATGTAATTAATAAAGGATTAAACCAAGTTTACATCAGAACATACGATTAGGCATTGTGTAGGATCATATTGAACAAAATCGATACGAACAAACCTGAGAAAACTTGTCACTTAATTGGCACATGATTGATTTCTTGCCGTTTATTTAGTTTGGCCTTCCTTCATCTTCTTACTTAAGAGAGAATATTGAAGTAAAACTTTCTCTCTCTCTCGCTCCCTTACGACGTTTGACTTTTTTTATTCCAAATATTGACGTCGCGTACACAAATCATCATCAACAGTAGTAGATAATAATGCTTCACAGAGAAAACGTCGCTTTAGCTGCTTACCTCATGTGATCGACTGAAGTCTCGTTTTTGAAGGAATTGCTTTCGTCGAACCATTCCCATTTTACCAATAGTTTTCAATTCCATTGTCTAGAGAAGGTTAAACATATAGATGCCACGATTGATCCTTGTCGAAATAAATCTTATTAGAACTCATCGCTTGTAATTATCGCATATTCGCTCTTTGAATCTTCGACATTCTATTGTTCAATAGTAAGAATTACAATCGGAAATGTACGTTCTCTCCTCTGCTTCTCATTTTATTCGGCTCTCCTTTGTCGATGTCGAATGATGAAGGCGAATTCCCAAGATGACATTTGCCTGATTGACATTACTTTCTTCAAGCACCGGTCGGACTCCAATCGATTTGTCATCATCGCTCTCTTATTATTTTCTTTTTTTTTATATTACATACTTCGACTTTCTCATAATGGCTAACCAACAGTCAATAACGAATTAACATTACTTAATTGGTTTGTCTTAGGTATCATTAGTTTCTTATCTTTTCACATGTAGAGATTCAACGTTCGAAGGACTCAGTTGTCAAATAAAGGAAATATTAATATATGAAGAAAAAAAATCTCCCTTGTCAATTCATGTAAGAATACTATCAATATATTGTTCGATTCATGTAATTGCTTTCTGAGGATCTCCGAGTATTAGATGAAGAGGTTTTCGTGGAATTATATATTGACAAAAAACAAAGAATTTTAATATCTGAAAGATCAGTCTTTCTTCTGATTAAATGAATTATTTAATCTTCTCTCTGCCTCTTTCTCTCTACCTGTCGTTTGTGCTCATCATCAAGTTTCAAACAATCAACAGTTGTCGGGTGTTTCCATGGACTATCCGCAGTCAGATATGTCGATAATAACGTTGTTGATGTCGATAAGGTGGAATGTTCAGCAAGTTCCTCTTGATATGGTTGTTTTTGCCCATGAAAAAAATGATTCGTCGGCTTCGGCGAGGACGAAGGTTTTTTCATATTTAATTGATAATCCATTCTTAAAAGCAATCTTTCTACTCGATCGTCGAATGAAATGCGAGTTCATCTAACAAGAGCAGTAGCCAAGGACACCTGCGTACATGTTATTGATTTCAGCAAGTTTCATCACGAATCTACGCGTTGGAAAGCTCCTATGTCAATATAGCCACTAATAACAATAGCTAGTGCTTTTCCTTTGCTATTCTTTTAACTAACAAACAAAAAAAGAGGGGCGAAGGGAAGCAAGAAGATAAATGGAAATAATAGAAACGACAAGAGAGAGAGAGAAGGGAGGCAGAGAAAATAATTATGCTAAGACACATACACATACATTTATTTGGACGAGTAGAAAGAAAAACTTGACTTTGTTAACAATAACTACCGATAAAAACACCGGCACCAATGAGAAGATTCTTTTAATGCGAATGTGAAGCGCTCCAAACGGAATCTTTCTAATCGCCATTCTTTTTTTCTTCTTCTTTCTTTGGCGTGTGTGTTTTTCTCTTTCGCTTCCTTGTTTATCGTTCAAGCAATTTTAGACACGCATAGCTGCATGTCTTTCATCTCCGCTCCTTTTTACCTAATCAACAATGACAAAAATTAGTACGTTTTCCATTCAATTAATTCAACTTCTGATGATAATGATGCGATGACGATTTTCTACTTACGAAACCATAGGTTATGCGGATACTTGACGAGGCACGGATAACCGAATGTCTGTGCACTGTTGACATGTTCAACTGAGAAAAGAATTCAGTTTGGTTTTTTCACAAAAATTTACTCATCAAGTGATATAATGAAATGTTCTTCAATTTCCGCTTGAAATTTCTTTCTCTCTGCTGCAAGACTTGTCTGTTTAGCCTGCTTCTCATTAGATGCTCAACTGAAAAACGATCTATTTTGATGACATGAAGTATTAAAATCGACGGAAAAAGAAAGAATCAGAGTGTAATTATTCATAAAATAGAATGCAACAATTTATTTTTCAGAAGAGAAAAAAAAACACTAATTGAATTCCATTGATTATTGATGTATGTAGAAACAAAATCTCGAAAGTTTTGATCACACGAAAACAAGAGTAGAGATAAAGATCAACGTGGAAGCGTGTTGAACGAAGAGATCTGACAGGACTTGACTGAACAGGAGTCAAATGTTGAACTCGTCGATGGAGGAATGGCATCTAGAACATAGATTTGTAAGGTTTCGTGATATATTCATTCGAATAGGTGCATACTTGATGTTATTGGTCGTTTCCATTTGGAAAAAGCTAGAAGATATATCAACATGTCATCTTTTATTAAACAGGCTGAAAAAATTCTATTAATATTCATCATTAATTAAGGTACGTTTGCTCGTTCTCTTTTCTCCCGCAAAATCCTCAACAAATATTATCTGATCCATCGAATCCGGCAGATAATTTACGTCGATCAACTTTCCGTTCTCTTCAACAGTCTCGATGGCCTATGAAATGTAAGAGACAGTTCAATGCTGTCTCTGAAATACATCGATTGAAATATCCGATGATCTTTCAGCAATAATTGATGTAACATGAGACGAATGAGAAGGAATTAGCTCGCTTGTCTCACATATCTCGGAGCGAAATCAAATTTTCCAATAGATGAACTAACTATTCATCTAAGTATAGAAATATGAAGCTTGCCTGATTAAATTAACTGATCTGGATATACAAAGGGCAAAGATTCTTTGTCTTTGGGAACGACTTTTATAATAGCTAAATGAATTACTAATTAGTTTTTTATTTAATCTCAAAATTTGATCGTCTGTGTGATGTTTAATCGATTAGAAACGCTTCTTACCTTTTGTCCAAGGTAGGAAAGGGCTTTTCTTCTTATCTTTTTTTTCTTCTTCTTTCAGTTTGTTCTAAAAATAAAATTCAAGTAGTTGACATCAAAATATCTCCTTCCGCCCTACGGTGTTAGTCGTGCGTGGTTGCTCCGAAGGCTTGGTGACGTGTTGTTTGCTGTAATTTATTGATTTTCCTTCCATTTCATTGCGAATGCAATCTTTGTAAATATCTGACTTGAGAAATCTGGTGTACGAATCGTATTTCATTAGATGAAAGATCTGAGATTGAGCTTTTTCGAAGAGATGAATATCTGGACTAGTTGATAATAATTGTTCGCATTCTTGTCGCGTTCGATTGTCGATATTGATCCGACATGATCCATCGTCCGTATCGTGTAAATACGTCGACCAAATTAGATTTGCTTTTTCGCGAATCTGAAAAAGAAAAAACGACTGTCTTGAATTTTTGCGTCGAAAGAGTATTTACTTCGTTGTGATTGGTTAACTTTTTGAAATTTTCACATTCAAGCCAGAACTGAATATTCTCTTGACTAAATTCTTTGGTTAAAAATTCTGTAAAGACTTGCAAACCCAATTCATCGTTCAACAATTTTTCAAAACATATGGCCCATGACGTTGCAGAACAATGCTCTTCACTCATATCAATGGAACCCTCATTAATACTTGTCTCATGTTGCAAAGACAATTCATCATCATTATGAATGGCCGTCAAAGACTGAAAGGGAAAAACAGATTTGTTTGCGGCAGGTAAAAAGTAAGAAACATACGGGAGCAGTAGTGAGAATATAAGCGGATGCGAATCGTGCGCGTAGATCTTCGACAGATGGTGGATGATCAACGAATGGACTCGATGGGTGATAGTGGAAGCTGTTTGCGTCAAGAAGATGGGTATCGTTTGCGATGGAATGACGACGCGGATGATGATCGATCCATAGGAATTGACCGGTTGTCGCTGTTGATGCTGCACTCGGTCCAACTAGATCGTTATCAAGTAGATCACCATCAGAGAGTGACGAAGAAGATGATGACGAACATGGACCTGGACAGGAATCATCATCGTGACCGAATCTGAACAAAGAACAAGGTTTTTGTGGAATGCTAAAGAATGAAATTTTCTTCGTACTCGGGTGGTGGTGGCGGAATACTACGTTGATGATGTTCGTGGTGGTCGTCTTCTTCTTCTTCGTCATCCTCTTCTATAGAAGATCGTAATGCGTTAGGTGACGAGGATTCGACGGACGACTGAGAAGTGGTTCCTGTTGTACAAGAATCGATATTCGAATCGATCGATGTTGCACACGAACTATTCGTTGAACATGTATCTAAACATGGAAATAGTTATAAGAGAAAACAGTAGGGTTCTTCTGTTGACAAACCTGGTTCATCTAAATGATGTTTTCGATGTTTACTTTCCAAATTACATTGTTCATTCGAGCAATGCTTCGCTCTGGCGAATAAACACTGAATAATTCGATTTCGTTCATCGACGGACGACGCACGAAAGACGAACATTGAACTGGCATTATGTTCATACTTTAATTTATTGATATTCTCATCGATTTTTATTGAACAGTAGAGTATCAATGCGAATAGCGTCGGTTGGGTATGAAATAGACAAACATAGCTTAAATATTTGCCCGCTAAGAAGTGAAACCAAAGTGGAGTGATTTGAAATTGTTTACATTGAATGTGAAATTGGATTTTATGTGCTGTGGGATTTAAAATCGAACGCTTAAGAAATTTTTGGATTTTTTTCACTAATTCTGTTTGATTTTTACTATTATGATCAATATCAAAGTAGCCGAGGAAATCAATTGAAGAAAATGTATACAATGTTTGATGTTTAAACGATAATGACGACTGCGAATCAATCAGATTAACACCGGGTGTCAACGATGAATACATATCTTTCAAAAGGATGATATCATTGATTTGGGACAAATACATTCGAAGATTGGTGCTAATAATCACTTTCGAAAGACGTTGACGATTGATGTTAGGAAAGGATTTCTGTCGATTGTTTATCAATGGCTCAGATGTTGTACTAGTAGTGGAATCTTGCGATGATGATGTGAGAGATTCTCGAGCTTTTTTATAATAATGCTTTATTGGATATTTGTTTATCGTCGATGATGAACCGGTGTTACTCTCTCGAAGAATGCGTCCACGAAGTGCATCGTTCACCGAGATTTTCGATGTGACATGGCAAGAAGATGGCGAGAGGATATTCTCTTTACAGTCGATACTATTATCTTCCTCGATATCATCATCAGGATCGAGCACCTACAACAAACCCATCTTTTCTTTATTCAAATTTTCTAGTAAATCTTACTTCTAACACAAGTACGTTGGTGTGCTTAGCATAGACAAGTCGTTTAACGTCATCATGTCTGGCATCTAAGACATTGTAACCATTAACTTTAGCTAAGATTTGTCCCGAACGTAATCCGCATGCTTGAGCTAAACTTCCTGAGTAGACGCAGATGGAACAAGGTTGTTCGTATTGTATAGCGAAACCAAATTTATCGCGTTCACTTCGACGACGTAATTCAATTCGATGTAAAACCGAACGAGAATGTTCGCTCATCAAAAGGTCAATATCTTAAAGAATAAACAGACAAGCAAAATTGTTGTTTTCTTTTTATGCAGAAAGAAGAGATAAGAGAAAACATCCATTGAGAGTACAGATTTATTCATATACACTGTTCAACATAGGAGAAGAACACGAGATTGTTTGCCGATACCACTCACAATTGGATTACCGATGAGCATTGGAAATGCACACTTCAATCTAAAACATCGATTGGAACTTTTCCCATCTTAAAATGAAGTGTTCGACATACGCAACGAAGTCCTTTCTCCATTGGATCGACCATGTATATTCCATGAGGATTCAGCACACGTTTATTTTTCTCTTCGATATATTTTGCTGCTCGTTTAACACACTAAATGTCACGACTAGAACAACTATTCAATTCCGTCGTTGTTCTTACTTTTTCATAATGAGTTGGCATACAAAGTAAAAGTAAATAGCCTGTCAAGCAAGCACAGCAATTTTCCGTAAATGTTGAACATGATAATGCTTCTGCATCGCGAAAGAATCCGTTTATATCGCGAAGGATACCGATGAATTCGTCACGATTGATCTAAACATTAAATTCTGCGAACGAATCGACGAAACAATGAACTATTTACTTGTCCTTCTAGTTCTCCCGGAAAACGTTCCTGGAATTTCACAGCTGTACCTTCGGAATAGTCGCGTTGAATGAATAATTTTACCGAATGATCATTTGTTAAACGCGTCCTGTCTTCCATTGATTAAAACAGATTTCTTTCAAACGCTTCACCTTTTTTTTTTCTATACAAACAAAACAAAACGATGCGAGACAACAGCGTTCTGTTTTGTATAACGATTGGCTGAGAAAAACAAATAGATGACGCTACTGAGTATGTTCATGCTCAATGAATGAGTATAGCAATGCTTGTAATGTTTCAAGTTTATTAAAGTTGAAAGTCAAAGAGAACAAGAGTGAAGAAGGTGACAAAAAGGAGAGGAAGAAGAAGAAGAAATTCAAACATGCGGAAAGACCAGAGTAAAAGTTATTATCATTATCATCTTTTCTCTTCTAGATCCCCGAGAATTTTTCATCCACATACGAACAGCAGACAAGAAAGACCAATAAACAATATCACTTTCTCCAAAAAAACAGGAAAAAAGACAA